AAGCACTTACGTACACACGTGATGCCACGGCACTTGTAATCTGCCTCATGGTACGACCTTCGGATGATGATCGCATAAACAGTTTTAGTGTGTCGCTGCGTTGGTGTGTTTCGCGTGTTCGGTTTGAATGAAGGCACCACTGAGGGGGGGTGTAGGAAAGGTGACATCAACAAACCTGTCTGTTTAGGCTATGTGTACAAGTGCTTTCCGCATGGCTGTAAATTAACTTAGCGTTTGTGTGACGCCAAAGGTGCATGTCAACCAGTGGATGAGTAGCAATAAAAGTGAATGTTGGCTCACTCACTAGTGTAACGAATGGTTATAATGATGCATGGATTGAGGTGTGGTCAACACTTTTACGGTTTTTAATGTCTTTTGCACTTGGAAATGGAAATAATGGCAAAACTAGCTTTTAATTCTCTATCAACCTCATCGAATATTGCCAGCCTTCGAGAAACCCAAATTTCTCTAGGGTGACCTATCAGTGGTTGATTGATTCAGGAGTCAGGTAGTCAAAGTGAAAAAGGCCGCAATCCCTCACTGTGGGAATTTCCATCTTGTGCTCCACCCTTCTGCCAACGCGGTGGCCTGTTTACCGACTTGACTGCGAATGTGCTAGAAATTGGACTCTCAGCTGATATGTGGAATAGCAGTGTTGCGAGTGCAAATCACTTCCACATGCACAACTAAGGAGGTGTCGCCAACATGTCCTGTTCTCAAGGCTTGGCAACGCCTCTTGGATGCATCCACCGACCTAAATTTTTGCAAGATACAGAATCCACATTCACGTGCTGATATTTTACGTGCTAAAATCCGGTAATTTTTCCTCATTCTAATCCGATAGATTCGACAATATTCATTTCCTCCGCTGGATTTCAATTTTCTAAATTACAAAAAGGAGTCTCACCATCTTTTAACTGCAGATCTTGAGATTATGGGTGGGTTTCTACTGAGCTCTTTGGCACATAACTTGTAGCTGATGCCATCAGGCTTTTATGTAGTGACACATATCTTGAAACGTTTTGCTGCAATGATTGTGAATCACGTTATATAAACGTCATTATGTCACTCAGTAATAACTCCTGGTAGTTAGCACTAGCAAACAAAAGAAGCGTTACATCTCATCTCTTACAACGATCATTATCTAAATAACGAAGAGTCAACCATCAAAAATAGGTCAACAGCAGTAGTCCCAGTGCCCCGACTTGCCCCCTAATTTGCGTACGTCTGGTAAATCGCATGCTTTAAGGCAAATTGTGTTAATGTGCCAACCTTTACCGCCCTAAGTACAGTCACGCCGATGGTAACGGCTGTTTTGTGTGAAGTGTTGGTTCCAAACCAGTCTGTTTATACATCTTCATGTCGATGTTGACTTGGCCATACACGTGTCTAATATGCAGAGTGAAGTCGTGGTTGGCGCATGCGTGACCATCGGGTGAATGTGCCCGCGATCGCTTGAACTCGGCGAACGGGCAACTGGTTGATATTCACCCCTAATTACTGCCAGTGTCCGCGAAAGGATCACATGTTTAAGCAGTTGTAGTTCATTATGGTAGCACACTTCAAGTCAGTTCTGTTTTCAGGTTGCCTTTTTCGTGCCCTCAACGCCGACTCTTTTAGCTCTGTGGCTTTTACCTCAGCAGATGCTGCGTAATACTGGGTAATGGGCTTATGGAACCACTGGGCTGTTTTGTCAATTGTACATATTCGAGGAAGGCAACCAATCTAGTCCAGAAAAGATTCATCATTTGAACTACCTCCAAATAACCCGTTGTCCATCCTTCATTGCTTTAAAGTAACATATGTCCCCATTTTACATCGTAATTCAGGTAACCAGCAAATTCCTAGTATTGTTGCTATGAATCAAGTGTTTATGAGTGGTTCTTGTTCGTTCATATTGCTGATCAATTCGCAATCCACTAATAGTGTTTTAATGCGTTAATTGTTTGCTTAGCTTCGGTTTTGGTAATGGGTCACCTATGGTCTCCGCCACTTTCCCTTGCTAGGCACCTGGTGCTCGGGCCGTACCAGTAGCCCCAAGCCCTTCCTTACGTCAATAATACACATTCTGCCCGAGTATTATACCGTCTTTCCATAGTACTTCATGGTAATACGAATTTTATTATCGTCCTTCTTGCCACTTCCTGACGATAAGAAGTAAGAATTTGCAAGAAAACCGCCTTCCTGACCGTTGGCTCCATTACTCAGGGTTCGAGTTCTTTTTTTTTTTTGATGGAAATATTTACGAAATGGTGATTAAAATATTTTTCAAATTACTAGATCTTGTCTTCGTTGCATATGTAGCATGCTGTAACGACATGTAAGGTTCAATTGTTTATGTGCATCGTAAAGCATATACACGCGACTCCTGATTGTGTTATGCGATTTTCGGCTATTTTAGGCTCCAGAGGATGTCGGTTGAACTTGAGGGGACTTAAACAGGGCTCCAAAGCTGCAGAAGCATTACATAAAATGTGCAGTGTGGCGTTTGAAGAGTAATAAATAGCCAAAGGATCGTTTTTTAAAGTGGGAAGTTTGGAAAATAAAAGTAAGGCTGAAAAAGTAGTAGGTAGAGCTATTCTTTTTTATTTTGAAGGAAAATCATTGAACCGAAGTTAAATTCGCATGCCCGTATTTCGTTAAGGGATGACTTTAGATTGTGCTGGTGATTGTTTCAACAAATGAAACGCTTCAAGAAGTCTTCCGTGGTTTTTTAATTTTATCATAGAGGAACACCCAAAGTACATATGCAACTTTCCTTTCCCTTACCACATGTTTACAAACCAGAAGCATTTCTACTAAATGCACTTCGAGGAAGAATGACTGGATGAATGAACCCAACATAAGGCCTCATCAGCTGATCTCGCTGACGCGTGAAGTAGAACGACTTTATCCTCCAGGTAAATTAATGCGCCAGCATTACTCCTGCACTGCCCTCTCCTGCCTACCTTGTGCTTCAGCGCGTGACGATGACGACGCGCCAAGCCACCAGCACACACTTGTGTGTTGTTATCATGCCATTCCCGACTGTTCTGCCTTCTGGACAGGTAGGCACGCGCTTTCAAACACAAAGCAAGTCAGGCGCGTTTACGGTAAGGAGTGCATTTCGGGATTTTCCGGTGGTTGAATAGTGTTCACTCCAAAAAGGGTTTCATTGATCGAAAGAGCTTGAGTCCCCAGGACTATTGATTGTTATGAAAGCTCTGCACAATCCGAGCCCCCCTCTGGCGCATGTGTTAGTGCCAAGTGTGAACGTTCTAAGGCATGTGAGTACAGGTTCAATGCGTAAGAAAGCAAATCATATAAGCCATCAGTAGAAAGCATGCGAACGCCCACCTGAAGGGGAGCCTTTGAGTTCGCTTACCTTCAGGCTCTCACGTTTAGAACTTTTCCTGCCTGCACACGGTAATGATACGATTCCACGCTTCAACCTTAGCGTTTTGCGCTAGATTCCAGATTAATAAGGAGCTTTGGCCATTTGTAGAATTTTCGCTGCAAATGAGAGACATTTGATAAACATGTGATCAACACTATTCAAGTGAACACCCAGCTAATTTTCCTTATTTCTACCAGAGCATTGTAGATTTGTATTTACTTTTTGGAGGAAAGATTAGGAATTCCTATCTTTTCATATTATGTAATAAACAGGGCTAAAAGGGCTCGTGAATAGACTTTTTCGGATTCAGTTAACCTTCCTTAAAGTTCTTAAAAAAACTTTATATGCGGATGATCTTCAAATGTAATTTTTTAAAAACATAGAATAAATAATTTGTGTTATTCACTGTCGACGACAGCTTCTTGGCTGGGTAGTGGCGGTCGTCCTCGGTAGCCTTAACAAATGAATTAGGTAAAAGGCTTAGAACCGCTTTCATCAACCATTCGAGGTCGTATCGAGCACTTTACCCTCTGCTAATGCGACTGAATCACTGCAATTCAACATATAGACCTACCAAAGAACTGCTAAACCGGGTTAATCTAGTGTGAATATTGTAAATCGAAGGAGGAAGTAAGGGAGGAAGACTGCGACAGGCCAGGGATTCCAAACCAAACACTATTAATGAAATCGGTTTTACCAATCTTTTTGCCTTTTACTTTCACCTACACCTGTGGGCTTTACACAGGCGAGTGATCTTTTAACCTTTTTTTATTTAATACCACACACCTTTGCTACAAAAGAGTGAACTTGAAAGCTACTTGTTTTCATGGCTCCAATGCCTTAATACGAGTCTGAACAAATAAGCTAATTTTGTAGATAGCCAGTAGAACGCCTATCAAGTCTGCTTGTGTTGAGCCAAATATCTTTACCTTTTATTAAACTGTCTTGAAGGCATTTAAATGAAACTATTCCTCACCAAAAAAAAACAGCCCTAAACTCCCGTATCACGCGCAATCTCCGCCTAGTACCAGATCCGGGCTGTCAGTCGGTCAATAGTGCGGGATGCAATGTGTGCTGGTGCAGGTGCGCGTGATTAGGTAGTGGCGGGATGTTAAAATGCGCTTACGTCAATTCACAAAACCCTGCACCGAGTGCATTGCAGCATCGAAAACATTCATCCCTATCGCAGGAAAATGTTCCCCTATTGGAACTTTTCCTTCAGATCAGATGCACCTAGCAGTGGTACCGCAAGATTCAGTCCTCTCTGTTTTCTGCTCATATGCCTTAGACAGCTCCGCCTTATGTGATAATTCAAGTGGTATGATGCGCATAAATCCACTTTTCTATCAGAGCACCTGAAACAGAATCAAACAAGTCACCCATGCATCAGACAAAGCGCAGTATTGGTACGCAACCCAAACAGTTTACCACCTTATTAGGATTTAGCTCAATACAACGGGCAAGGTCGAAGCCAAATGGTGGAACCATGTCTCAAGAAAGGTCTTGAGGTACACAATGCTTTGTTTCAGCGTCTGAGAATGAGATACCTCGGAAGACTAGTAGCGGAAATTGTATTCGGCGCCTTATGGGTCAGGCTAGCGGCATCTATCATTAGGCGCCCAAAATGTGGAATAGGCAGGAGGGACGAATGCCGTCTCGACCACAATCCCATCGTACTCGTGAGCGTTAGTCACCAGGGTGTGAGTGGCTTCCAAAACGGGGATCGACAGAGGAGGTGAAAAAACAGCCGCCTCAAATGCACACGCGACGCCATGATGTGTGTGTACTATGCACTGTGTGCACACTTTGTAGCAAATGGTTGTAGCAAGCGCACACACATAACCAGTACTTTTTCCTAACAGTTGTTGGACTGCATGTATGCACACGCATGCACACAAATTGTGTGTGCGGCGAGAGTTGTTAAGTGTCAATGTATCCATCTCGTCATGACCATTCATACCGAATGAATTGCCAAGCATGCATATTTATGTTCAGTGGTGGAAATACCCCTTGGAACTATTCATCTTCACAATGGATCAGTGGGAGCCCGCAAGAGTTGCTTTTCGCGGATAGTCACATGTTTTCAAGATTGGTTACGGTTCATTTTCGGTTACCGTCCGCCTATACTTTTTTAATACCTACACTCTACCAATGTGAATGCATGATTCTATCTTGATTTGAAATTGTATTAAAGCTATCATTGGTTCTCAGTTTTCAGGTAGTGTTACAATTGTAAAAATGCGTTAGACTCTTAGGCGACAGTTGAATACAAGAGTAATTCCCAGTACGGCAATTTGAGATGTTTAAAACAAAACAGAAATTCCTCAATATCAGATGACCAAGTGAGAAATCTGCTTAGCAGTATGATTTTTATAGACAACTGGTTATGGCTGTGTTTCGAGGTTACATTCCAAAGAGGAACAAAGTTTGTCATTGAGATCAATAGATGTATTGGTAGTGCTTAGAGAGTACTATTTATCATGGTTTTCTATCTTTTGGAATCTCGGTTTGAGTAAGATAGCAGTGTGAATCCATCAAGCATAATTTAGAGCATTACAAACAAACATTATTGGTAAGGGCCCTAAAGTCTTGAAGCTCCCCTGAACTTGCATTCGCAACATCGACGAGCTAGTGGAAAGCAGCGACAAGTGATGTCTGAATACTGCCAACCTATTGGTTCGTGCACTGACCCATATCCGATTGTGATTGGTCAGCAGTGCTAGAAATTAGCTTAGTGCGTGCGCACGTGTTAATCACAGCTGAGAGAGAATTGGCAACACCACACGTATGCGTAGTGCGTGGCCTTGACGCCGCTACACTGGGACTGCCGTCGCCCCATGGACTTCATAATATATTCAAATTGCGGGTAGTCGATACGTGCGTGAATACTTTTGATTTCATAACTACTCAATCCAGTTATGAAAAAACGTCTTGCCACAACTGGTGCAGATCCGAACGGATTGTTGCCCTTTGGCCCGCAAGTGACTAGTAGCGTAAACGATCTTAACTTACAGCTCTCCAATTGTCCCCTTCCCCAAAAACCCCCTTGGGATGGCGATCCCAGACAGCCGTTTACAGCGCCAGTTAGTCTGCTAAATGCAAACATGCCCACTTCATCCAAATCTGAGTATGCTCCAACCACGGGTGACGAAAATCGGAATTCTGTCGGTCTCACCCCGCCAGTTATCAATCAAAGTCAATACGATTCCCCCAAAAAGTGCGACATTACAGGTCAGGCATCTTTCAATACCAGTCAGCTTATCGAGGCTTTCATTCACAGTGCCCAAATAGCAAGAGGTGTGCACCCTCAGCAAAGTGATTTGTCCCAACTCATTCTGGAAATGGCCAAGAACCAACTCCATCAGCAGCAGCCGCAGCAGTCAATGAACCGAACTATTCTGCAGCGAGCCACTCCCGACAAACTGCTCATAACGTCCAGAAGTCCGCCCTTGCGTTCACCGTCGGAGTCTATTCGAGGATTTGTCGATGGCAATCATTCCAAGCCTCGGACTTCATTTGGCCACTCACCAGCTCTTCAATCCCCGCCTCCTCCTCTACTCCCACCGCCTCTTTCCAACAGTGCCTCAAGAAACCAATCAGGTCGTCCTCTCACAGCTTCTGACTACAACTCAGCCTCTTCAACCTTCTACAGCCACCAGTTTCGCCAACCCACTCTTACCGAGCAACAAGCCAAAAAACAGGCGGCTTCGCTATCCATCGATCAGCAGCTATATCCCGCTACTCTGTTCTATATGATGGCACAACAGCAACAGCAGCAACAAATGCGCGGACATCCACCGCCCCAAATGCCCCTTTCTTCACATTCGGAAGGCGATAAGAAGTCTCTAATTGACTACTCAAAAGTTGGGTGGGTGATTACTCTTTTATGCAGATCTTGTCCTGTTTCCCTCTTCTTATCTCATTTGTAAGTGTAGTAAAATCGCAAGGCACCGTGACCAGGTGAGGCCACGTGAAATGCGACGGCAGCAGCAATGGCGACGTCAGCTGTCTTGTCGCTCGGGTGCTGAATCACCACCTCCTTCGCTGTTTTAATCGCTGCACTCATCCCTGGCTGGTTCGCTTCACACTTGCGTATGAGCTCAGTGGTTTCTAATCCCGGTCGTAGATCTGTGCCAGAGCGTATCGTGGTTCCTTTTCTGGTACATTCTGGGTTTCGTTGATCCATCTGCCCACTTAAGATGAAAGTTGTCGTGCTTGCCTTATCCGACAGTGGGCTGTTCTGAGGGCTCCTCTCAAGCACCCAAAGCGATCCCCTGACAAACCTTTTTTACTTTGAAGTTATGTCCATTCTGAATTTGCGATGTTGTATCAAGTAGCAACTAATCACCCACCTTATTAGCACAGGCGTTATCTGGTCTTCTCTACTAAGCCTTTTTAGCCCGTGCTGCGATTTTTTCACTTATCTAATGTTTCTCAATTCATGTAGAGCTACACCTTAATTACTAAATAAGTTTCCACGGCATTGTCCCTTCCTTTACCATGTTCATTATAATTACAAGGATAGTGCACCACTCCTCAAATCCTTTTTTGTTACTTTTTCTGCAATAGTTCTAAATCTGAACCTAAGTTTGGGTAAACGCCGAATGCCAACTACATTAAGAATGCTTGGTGTATAAGGATAGTCGATTATTACTTGCTATTCATTACCATCCTCTCTTTTGTCTACCTCTTAGTCTACCTTCAAATGCGCGAAATCCAAAGAACGATCCCTACAGTTCGCATACACATCCTCAATCACACAACCCCTACATTCGCGTACCACCATCCTACCATCCCTGGTCCAAAACGGAGCCCTCCTCATTTACAGGATCGGGTTACTCCACTATCGATATACTTCGAGAGTCCAAACAAGCTTCCGAGTCTGCAAAGCCAGCCAATAAACTACTGACCACCTCTGGTGTTTTCTACCCAGAGAAACAGCCAATTGCTCCCCCGCCTCCCCCCTCCTGCTCCTCCTGCCTCCTCGATCCCTTCTCCAGCCGCAGCCCCAGCACCAGCCCCAGCCTCTTCAATTAAAAATCAGTCCGACGCGGTGGATCATCACTTTCAAATGGCTTTGAGTAACAACAGGAGCGGTAGCGGTGGTGTCGGTGGCAGCACTCAGCCGGAACCACCGACCCCCGTGGAAATGACCAATGAAAGGAAGGCTAGTGACAGCCACAAATATCCTCATCCCTTTCCGAACCACTCCTCCGTGATTCAGACAGTTCATCATGGTGTTTCTTCGTGCTCCTCTTCGTCCTCTATCAGTTCCATGTCCCTCTTTGACCGTGATGCCAATTCTCCCAGTCGAAAACTCTTTCCTTTGCCTCCACCAAAGTCTGAGAATAGAATAAACAGTGAGGCCTGTCGATTTTCCCTGAAAAAGAGACTTATTCAACGCTACCAAGCCGATGCGACCACAGGACTTGCTTCGGAGTCTGCTGCAGTCAACCAGGAGAGAATACCCGAGCAACAACCCCAAACGATGATAAAGCAGGAGCCTGGTGCAATTCTCGCCACAACACTAGAGGCGTCGTCCTCCGATCGTGTATGTTATTTATCCTTTGCAAGTACCTCTTTACAAACTCCACCTGTCTATCTACTTTTATGCTTCATCCATTTAATTTTCCAACATGGGACTCGATGATTACCCATGCACGTCTTAAAAGACCCCATTTTTAAAAATTCAAAAATGCAACTTAAAGTTATTGTAGAAGTTTATATGTGGACATTTATTGTAATACAAGAGCGAGAAATCTGCTAGGTAGCAGTTCTGATGCAGGCGCTCTGTCACGTCGTTAGGTTCGATGAAATCGATCGATCCTTTGACGTATGGGGGCGTCCGCATCTCAAGTAGCTTCAGTCAATAAATATTTAGCCTCGGTGCAGGCACTCTGTTTCCTTGTCGAGTTTTAAAAAATGCGAGATACACAAAAACTATGAAATGTAGGCCCCTCCATTGTTTCGTCACAGGTGCTTCTCCAAATATCAGGGTGGTATTTTTCCCTTATCCAAATTTTAATTTTGGACGCTTCAAAGGCATAGTCATGATGTTTATAATTACAGGCTTTAAAACCCTTAAATCGGCTAAAATGCAAACACATGGTGAAACACTTCAGACTTACCCAGTTTGTGACATTTTAGCTGTTAATTACCACCTTTTGTGGTCGTAATGTCCTAATACTGCATCTCTAGGGTGTGATGCAGTAGAACATTTTGCCCTGTCAAGTCTTCTCCCGGAAACAAAGACGGATGATACTGGTGATGTAAATTCGCCTGTTCTGCTTTGGGTTGCTTTTTTTGCGCTCCTGACTTCGCCGCTCGTAAATTTGTTGATGGGCAGTTAGAAAAGAAAAGGAGCATTGGCTCGGATCTTTTCTCACCCCAATTCCACTCTTATTTGGGTTAATTTTTTGTGTCCCTGATGTGGAAACAATTGACCACTAGTCATCGCACGCAATGTCATTCCCTTCGAGTCAAGTGTTTGTCATTGCCATTCAGTGACGGCTACTCACTTTTTCTCACTCCCTTGGTATACTTGTAAACCTTTTCCGGCTTAGGAAAGTTTTAGATGACCTCGCATGTTAAAATATTCTATATCTGTGTGCATTTAAAAATGATATCGTAGTGGAGTAATTTGTATCGCGCTTGAAAACAAAGTTCACTTATACGTTTGTAGATAAGCAAATGATTTTAATAAATGTTGAAAAAGTTTCAAATGAATATTGGTGATGGTAACAGTTATCCTATTTCTTCTACTCTCATTTAGCAATTTTTTGCGGAATCGAGTAAAGCTGAAGAAGACCGAGCTCTGCCAGGGGGTCATGAATCACCGTCCTCTCCTGCGAGCGCTCACTCCATTGTCAACGGATCCTTGCCAGAAGAGGCTCCTTCCAAAGACATTACGAAATGCGTCGCAAACAGTACAGCTCGTCGGCACCCGCCAGTACGGGCCTCAAAGATGGCACCACTGATGTGCTCCCTCAACGAGTCTTCTCAGTCTCCCTCCACCACCTCCTCTCTAAGCAAACGAGTTCGCAATAATGCTGTAAAACAACATCCCGGTTTCACTTCCGTTCGAAAACGCACTGCTGCTGGGGGTAGTGGCGAATCGAGTGGCACCAAACTGTCACGTGTAAAGCCTACCAAACCCCGGTTTTATAACAGTCGAGTGGCATCACCAGCAGCGGCGAGCGATACAGCTCTGCAGAGCAGTCGCCGAAGTCGCACAACGTCGGTACGATCGACCACTGATCAGACCCATTCCGAATTTGATTTCAATGGGCAGGATGAAGACGAGAAGGAGATTTTGTCAATAGAGACGAGTGGAGGAAGTGCAAAGGCGACTCCTAATCGGAGATGGTTTGGCTCGCGAAAGCGAAAATCGACTGCTGCTTCGTCGGGCCCCTTGTTGCGAATAAAAGTACCACGTAGATCGATAGAAGAGGAGGAGGCTGCGAAACGACCGAAGCACAGGAAACGCACACAAAATACTCGACAAAACAAGACCACTTTGAACACCCTTCCGCGTAACTATTTGGAAGAGGAAGACTATGAGGAGGAAGAGGAAGAGGAAAGAGAGGAGTCGAATGAGGATGACCTGGAGACCACGACTCCAGTCCAGCGGGAAGAAGAGCGGGGATCAAATGGGGGTGAAGACGAGAAGGGTGGGCGAGGGGAAGAGTCTTTGAAGTGTCATCGATGTGGCCAGTTGGTAAAGGCGGTGAAAATAGGGCGTCTAACCGACCCATTTGACTTTCAGTGCTGCGAGGAGAAGTTATCACTTCAGAAAATTAGAAGGCGGCTTCCTCCTCCACCAAATTGTGAGTCAATCCAGTCAATACTGTGTTTAATGTTCTCCGTTGTTGCCCGAGTTAATTCCATTAGTGGTTGCGTGATTGCCATATATAGTTTCATCATTCCACCTTTCTTCTCCCATCATATCTTAGTGCCGTGCCCCCCGTCATGTTTATACCTGCTTTTATTGTGCGCGTGTGGACTTTAGCAGTATTGTGTGTATAAAATGGATAGGAGTTCTATTATGCGTATATTGGATGTCGTGGATATTAATTGGCACGTGCAGAGGCCAGGCAACAATTCACATGATCAACTACTTGGGAAATTTTTCCGTTACGAAGCTAAGTCGAAACGGTTATTTTTCTCATTCCTAGTGGCCATCCTCTCGCATCGGTCACTCTGCGGTGGTGAGCTGGGAGCACAGGACGTAGATGATGCCGGGTCTGAGGCAGAATCCCCCTTCCTTCAGTTGAACAGCTGCACGGAACTGGAGAGGCTAAAGCCCTCCTTCCGTTGCCGAGCCTGTAGGGAGGCCAGTCGAGTCTCATCTACCACCATCGTGGAGACCAACAGTAAGCCCAGCGTTATTGGCAATGGCAACAATAACAGCACTACGGACAAGAACGGTGCCCGTCGACGGAACATCAACAATCGCAACCATCCTTCCTCTGCTGCCACCAGTGCAAATAATCCCTCCTCTTCACGCGGCACTAGTGATGCAGGGAACGATTCGAAGACTGCTGCGGCTACTGTCTCTGTGTTTTGCCGATTCTGGGGCTTCCGAAAGCAAGTTGAATTACGTGCCCTTTATTACCTTCTAATTCACCAACCTTCATGAAGCCTCTTTTAATTCATATACGGCTTCTCGCTGCATGACTTTATTCCCACGAGAGTCATTTTTCCATGATTCAATTATGCTTTCGCTCATTTATGCACTGCAATTTAATTTACATACTTTCTGATTTCCACAAGATGTCAAACGCCTTTGCTATCGATTGGGTGATGCCAAGTCAATCGTGCTTTTAAGCTTCTGTTCTGAAATTTAACTAAAATCGTGCGAATTATTTAGAGACAAGGCTTCACTCATCCTTAACTGTTTCATGTAATTTTCTTTTCCAGCACTTCTAGAGTTTGTCTTGAGAGTGAATCCTCACATCCTTATTCGTTTCAATGATTATTTAATCCACAATCTCACTAATAATCGCATCCTATTTTCTGTGAAATGTATGGAACTTATTTTGAAGGGTTGTTCTTCCGTCACACTTTTCAATGGAACGGTGATGAATGCGTAGCAAGTTTATAACAAAAAAAACCTAGTAAAATTGTACATATTTGTCTAGAGATGCGTGAGAACTATGGTTCACTGATTAAAACAGGCTAGGTCACTATCATGCATCGCATCATTTAAAAAACCCTTGAGGATTTGATTGGTCGCGAAGGCTACTATCCTGCCTTGTTATCATGATGAGAAAGTAGTATTTTTGCCTAATAAAGCCAAGCATTCGAATGGCTTTTGCACTGGATGCTTGGCATTCTTTGTCGGCTGTGATGTATTGCTTTGGTTGGAATGGTTGCTCTCGGCTTTTACCACACAACACAGCATATGGTTAAATACTGTGTGCACTGATGGATGTGAGTCAATGGTGGGAAAATAGTGAAGCCTAAAAGTAGCTATAGCAAGGGCAGCAATAGCACTAGTGTGCTAGCAAGTGCCACGCAAATATCCTTTTTGTGCCTGCTCTTGCACAAAAGTGCAACAGTAGTGCTACCAAACAACCGCTCTTGCCTTCATTTCCTCCGTGTTGTCAGGTGGCGCAACCAGAGCAGCTTTGCTTGAAGCACAGTGCCACCATCCTCAGGGAAAACTGTTGGCGCCTGCTGAATATCATTTACTTTTATGAACTGCTCTGTTGCTTTTTTGTGGAAGGTTACTTAATTGCTAGCTTGGTGCACGTGAAGCTAGAGTCTCCTCTTTGTTGGGCCATCCTTTCCTCAGTGCTTGGGTATCGCTATTATGTGCGGGTCAATTGGGATAACTTTCCGTTTAGATTTTTTACGTCTAAAGCAAGTGGGTGTGATTTCAAGAAACTTATAGCAGATTTAGTGCCTCGTACTGTCGGAATGGTATCTCAATTATGAAGGCGAAAAACTATTCTTTGTGGTAGTGGTGCTATTTCAGGCAGGTAAATCATGTTTACTGTAACAACGAGGATGACTTGTGACTAATACGTTCTGTAGTAAATTCCTGCAAGCACTTGAAAATGTGCATGAAAGGCTCACAAAGATAAACAACCGTGAAAGTCGACATAATCTATCTTAATTTGCTGCCTCACTTAAGATGGTGCGGTCTGATTAAGCTGAAGTCTCAAGAACTACTCTGCGGACAGTCAAGGACTTTTTACATCCAGATGACCTTCTCCTTTTTTCATCATAACCATTTTCATTGGTCAGGGTCGCCAGTGCGATTTTGTAAAGTAGCGCGAACTTGCAATACCTCTCAGCTACGTGCAACTTTTCGTCTTCCCCAATGGGAGCTATTTTTGAAGGTTCGAATAACGCGATTAATAGCGCCAAAGTTGCGTTCTTCTTGCTATCAATGCACGTACACGTTGTAAGCAATTTGGTGCCCTTCGTCTAGTTCTTTTCTCTTCACACTGATCCGCGGCGAAAGCCCTTACAGGCGAATAAATTTACATGGGTGTAGTTTTTGCTTTCTCAACTTCTATTTAGCCGGAAGTTTGGTTCCAGTTCATTCAGTGGTATTCTTGCTGAAGCTGTCGAAATTTCCTCAATATTCAACTATCATTTATCCTGAGGAGCTAATTTTACTGCTTTTCTTCACGAGGCAATTTTCTGTGAGCCGCTGCCTACAATCAATCGACCTGAAATATCCTACTATGTAATTAGGATGAACAAAGCTTTTACGTGGAAATCCATATTTTTCTGTTCGTGAGAAATCCCATTCGGTTTTATTGGATGCTAGGAAATAACAACCACTATTGACTTCCCTTCCGCAAACATCCTGACTTCCCAATCGGCAACGACAAAAAGAAAAACAAACATTGTGTCTAAAAATTGATTCCTTACGTGAGGTAGGGTAAATAGTTGTCAAATCGGTCTTTTCCTTCTTACCTCGTGAACAGACATCGAAGCAACCCCATCGCCAATCTACAACGTTAGTTCGTTTGTCATCCTCGATGAGTTAACAATAACCGTGGATAATTCCCTTTCTTGATGTATAAAGGTCAAGAAACCAGCAGATCTGCACGCACACTAACAACCCTATATCACATATTTCCCTTTCCACTACATAGCATACTCTCCTGTCATCACTAGAATGTGCATTAATACCCCCCAAAAAATTGACTGTGTGGGAAGAGCTTGACGGTTTTGATCACGTTCCAGTCCTGTTTAAGCACCTTCAAAGGGTGCATTTACCTCATAACGGCAATCGATCCAACTTGACCTTGACGCCATGACTGATGCGCTTGCATGTGTTAGGAGGTGCTATTCAGATTGAAAATATTCTACTAGGTTCTTATTGCTGTGCAGATGTAACACATAGTTTTAATAGATCATGGGGCTGTTCATATTTTTCTTCCACTTAATTCCATCCATTTATATAAGCGTATCATACTTATTCACAATGAATGTGTATTTTTAACCGCATTCGATAGTAGGAGCGGTGATTATCTTGTTCTTTTTCTCTGATTTTTGCTGAGCGCTCGTGTGAGTTCTTTTGGGCTGAGCCTACGCACACACACGTCCGTGCGTCCGTGCTTCCACCCCGGTTATCGATCGCTCGCTCTCTTGCGATGCCAGCCGACTAGCGCCACCTTCCCACGCCGCCACCCAAACGCTGAATTCTTTCCATACCACTCATTTTGCTCCCACCCTCTCTCTGCCTTGTGCCGGCAACAATTTCGTACTTAATTGCTCGCTTAAACTTTGTTTTCCTTCCAAAAAAATTCATTTTTACCTCATCATCGTCAACACGAATGTTTTGTCACTATGTTGTCTATAAAATTGGTAAGCTACACGCAGTTTTCCTCGCACCCCTAGGCGCGTCCACATGGCGCGCCTTACCAACCCCCATACACGATAGGGACGTGTTTATGCCTTCAGTATCCACAATAAATCCGGATTTTTTTTCAGGATATATTTCCTCGGCCGAAACAACAACTATACCTGCCATTTGTACTGGAGTGTTATATCATCAAAGTTCTTAACGGTTATTACCTACCCATTTAATATAGCACTCATTTGCATGTCCCATCGAAATTTTAATCATTTCTAATTTATCGTTTTCATTTTTCTTGCGATCCCCTGAGTCGCGAACACAAGAGAAGATGTCAACACATCGAGCCAGACCTGTGGTACATCATGGGATATCAGTTTATTCTCGGCCATGCATCGCTTGCATGAAAAGCAAAACGATCACGCTTTGTATGAGAACTGATTACTTAGGTTTTGCGACTTTTGTAGACTCTACTACGATCAGAAGGGTCTCCTTAGTGTCTCTGACTTCTGTCGAACCTCCGAGGCCGATTCGATCGACCGTTCACTCTGGGCCATGCATCATCATGGTAAATACACAAGTTTTATCCTGAAATATATGCACATTCAAGAGTCATTATAGTATACACGAAGCAGAAAGTGACATGCTGAGTGTCCCCCAACCACTGATGTAAAAATATGACGGTATGAGGCGTTAATGCTAAATAACCATTACGTAGCCGCTCTGTTAGCAGTAAATCTATCAGACTAGCACACGTTCACGCATTTGCTTTGGTATACGTGTCATCTTTTGCGTTCAAAAATCACTGCCTTTATGTAAAACTATAGTGTGATGTTCCTGTTCAAGTCTTATCGCGTACAACACTGCTGCGGTCAAGGCTCCTACCACAAGTTATGCCTTAAAAATACTTTCGTGCTGGTGTCTGAAAAAACTGAAAAGTGGCTGGAGGATTTATTGTACTTAACGGATTTCTTTTTCTTCTAGTGTCCCCACCTCTGAGTCGGCAAAACGCTATGTACTGCCTGGAACAATTAGGTGCAATTGCATGTCGCCTTATGCTCTCTGAGCTCTCCATTCTTTCCTCCTCAACCTCCGGTTATGGAACTGTCACTCGGCAGTGCCGTCCATCTCTGGACTCTGCCGCCAAGAACCTTAACTCTCCTTCGCGCCACGTTGCCTGGAAGCGACCTGTTCAGGGGGTGAGGGAGATGTGCGATGTCTGCGAGACCACCATGTTCAACTCCCACTGGGTCTGCACCAAGTGTGGTTACTCAGTTTGCTCCGCTTGCTACTACGCCAAAGCAGCCTCCCTTGCCAAAACCAAAGACAGTCCCGACCCTCTGGGAGATGTCACTTCCAGTGTCACCTCTACAGTCCACGAAAGTGTAGTGGAGGAAGTGGGAGTCAAGAGTAGGATCCTCTTCTCATTAATATACCTCTCCTTACAAAATGATGGTGTTTAGTGCTACATTTGGATGTTTTCTTTAGATCTCTCACCCGCAGTAGTCCAGCTGAGCTTCGAGGACTACTCGGTGCGTCAGCCGTGGTCCACATGTTCAGCCAGTCGACGACCCCATGATCCCAGCAAGATGATGCTTACTGCTTTGCTCCCCTTCGGCAGTCTGCATTGTTTGTGGCATCGCCTCCACAGAATTGTGCCGCGCCTGGACTGTCCCTGCACTTGCCCTTCGGCTGGAGCTAGGACTACAATTGAGGATGTCGCCTCCCCAGCCTCCTCTACTGACACCTCGGCGGCCACCTCCCTTGACCTCCTTGCAGACCTCGCACTAAAGTCGACCACCTCATCTGGTGGGTCTCTTGAAGATAGCGGTGGTGCTGAAGAGGAGACAGTGGACGGCGAAAGTCGCGAGCTAAGCCAGAAGGCTGGCTCTCTGGGTGTGCTCTACCTGAAAGACGGTGATCCGACCAATTTCAAAGCCTTTCAGGTGAGTCCCCTTTTACCCTTAGCTGCGCTGGTAACTCTGGCTCCCGATATTTGACTTCTCGAAATTGTGATGTAATGGTATTATGTTTCATAAGTGTGCGAATTGAACTTCGCAAACAGAATTTCTTGGTTTATTTGAAAGGTAACAACTCTAGAACTTTATAGATCTTTCTGTGTCAGCTGTACTTTACTGATGGACTCACTCTGCAGCTTCACACACAATTACCTGTGTAGTAATTTTGAATTACTAATATGGAGACTATCAAGTTCTCTCTAAAAATATCTAAAGTCATCTTCTCTCTAGGCTATGTTGTGGATGCTATTATCTTTTACAACAACATTCAACGTGTATATATTTCTTCTAAACCATTGTGAGTTTGGTCCGTATTGGAAAAATACTAGGTGGTATTATGCAAGTTAGTTCTTTCGGCATTTGTCAGCGCGCAACGCTCCCATGATTGCAAAAGTTAGGCTTTTATATAATCATCAGTCACGATAAGACTCTAGGGTAAGCGAAAATAAACACAAACTTGGGTTTACTTGCTGTTGCTTTTTCTGCATGCATTAAGATGTCTTCGATCACGTGACAGAATTGTCTGATAGACGACCGTCTGTTCCCCCACTTCAGCATACGTTGATGATGCATTCATGCACAGACTCAAATACTAACGGCGAATGTTATTGAAGAAAGGTAGAAGTAATTTCATAGTTTAGTAATTAAGTTAGGTTACCAAGATGTCCTAGCCAGTTTGGCCGTTTAACTCCACTGATAATAAACACACGCACTGGATGTACACCTTTTTCTCAAGTGCGCACGGCTATGTACACATCGATTGGCCCATGATCAGTGTGTGGCCCTCGATGCGGGCATATCCAGGAGCAGGCCCGCCTACGTTCGCGCTTCGAGGTTAGTATCGACCATCCGTAGCGTGGAGAACAATCCTAGATGCACACCCTAGGATGGTCAAACGATTCCAATGACGCATTGCTACCTTCTTTCCCACATTGAGGGGTGAAAGTACACTTCACATCGGCGCGTGTGTTTTAGTGATTTGGGGCTTGACAAACCACAATCCACCCCTTGCGTTGGAACGAATCAAGTACGCCTTTTCTACAGACAGTGGGGCATCGCTGCATTCGTCACGTTCCTCCTCTTTGTTCCAGTTTTTGAAAAGTGTGTTTAAAAAATCGTGCACCTATACGTCAGTGTCGATGTGGCATCACGTCGCGGGTGTGTGAGTAGTGCAGTCGCTAAATAACCGCGTAACCAGATTACCGGTCCTGAATTAGGCTTGCACGGTTCACCTGCGGAGAGCCTGCCTTTAGCACTGATTGCGCAAGTCTTTTTCAATTGGTCTAATCATGCTCTCTTCATTATTAAGCACTAATTACCTGAAATGAAACGGCATCATGGTAGCTTACTGTCCTAAGACACAAGAATTACTTGATTTTACCTGTTATTTTCACTTTGAGCATTGCATTTTTAGTATTTATATCAGGCATTATTTGCTTTCGCTCAGAAGAGTGAAATTTTAGCGACTGTTTATTGTGAAGAATCCCCAAGTCGCACAATTTTCTGTGGGATTGCAGTCGTAACGCTTCGCTTCGTTTAGGGCATGAAGATTTTTGTCTAAAAATAGCAACTCGTAGCTTCAAACTCATTTGGGGAACGCAGGAAAAAACAGCCCGCAGGCGTTGTTATAATATCTGCTGTAATGGTTTCTACTAGTCTTGGAGTCGCCTCTCGAGTTTTTGGACTTTTGTGAGGGAACTTTACACTTACCTGCTGATCCGTTCCGTGATCAACTTTGATAATTCTACTGAATGCAAAAAGTGATTTGACGGAGCCTCACTGTCATTACAGACTGTCACTTTGTGTGTTGTATTTGTGCAGTAGTCTCAACTTCTGTCCAGAGGTAAGGCATGTGGATTTTTAGGAAATGGAAGTTAATTGCTCGAATAATGGGAATGTGAACATCGAGGCTTAGCTCGATGCTGTGATTTTGGGCACTTATGGAAAACGCTAAGCTGGTATCCACAGCTAACTATTGCGAGCAATAACGGCGTCCGAAGGCTCACCTGGTTGCCCCATCCAAAGTCATGGGTCTGAGCAACATAAGAGATAGGCTCACTCGTAACCTTTTACCACGTAAACCAAATACGCCACTTTCGTACTGGAAGTTCAGCACCTCGTGGTGTACGTAGGCTATGATTTTCATTCCTTTTTTCGTAAGGAGCGATGAAAACGAGACGTGTTATTTGGTTTTTACACACAATTTTAGCAACACTGGGCCACCAACCAGCCGGTAGTGATCTCCGGCTGTGGGAGGCACTTCAATGCTTCGCTGTGGACCGCAAAATCTCTCAGTCGCGAGAATTCCTCGCCAGGAGCCGCCTCGCAAATCGTGCTCATTGACTGCGAAACCAACCTTATTGTTCCTCGACATCCGATCCGGGCCTTCTGGGAGGCCTTCGATGCCCATCTAAATAACTCCAGTATGTTTCCTTTCACTTCAACTCAATACCTACTTTAATTATTTAAGACTCCCTTCTAAAATTAGACACGTTTCAAGGATCACGTTTCGAGGACCAATAATTGTCTGAGCACAATTGCCGCAACTGAAAAGGTAATGGGGAGGAATCTCAGTCCTCAACCCCAAGCTTGCAAGGCTATGCCTAATTTTCTAGAATTTCATACACGTAACAGTCAACATTTGATTGAAATGTCGGTTGCTCTGAAACCTATTTGCAGCCAGTCGACTATACTGAAAACGAGCAAATCATTATTATGTACTTTGTAGTTCGAACTCGAACTCATTTCGGTAATTGTAAACGGCTTCAGTGCTTTCGCTCCTTTCTTTCTTTAAACTTATTTGGGAGCGGGTGTGTTGGCAACTCTCTATTTTCACGATTCCATTCTTGGGTGTAACTATTCAGACCTTGTTTCATAGAGCTAGAACCTCTGTGACAAGAGTCTCTTTTCTCATGTTACCCCTTTGCTATTATCCTGAGCCCACTGTTTGTGCTTGTAATCCTGCAGCTGCTGATGCTGCTGCTAGATGGCTGTTTTTTAGCCTACATGCTGCTTTGCATAGAGGGAAAAGGTGAGAGAAAAAGCTGCGTGATTCAGATGATGTTGTCGTTTAAAAAACTAATGTAGGGTAGGCGCTGGTCAACGATCGCCACACGCACATGCGTGCATGAGAAGACAATAGGCCCTATGTTAAATTCCGGAAAATTCTCAAGGGAATGGCGCTCACAAAACTGTTTGCTTTCTCCTCTTTTAGTGGAGAAATTTCACCTCCCATAAATGAATGATAGTGTCACTTACACTAACAGGTGTTTTTCAGATGTCGATCACTGAATGTGCTTTCGGTTCATATCAAGTTTGTCTACGCGTTTTGTTGATGTAACGGTAATGTGTTCTCCCTCTGCTGCGTTTGTAGAGCGTGCCTCATCGACGAAGGAGACTACTAGGCCGCTGCAACACCTGAAGATTCGTGAGTGGCCCCCCTTGGGTGACCTAGCGGAGGCGCACCCTGATCGATATGCGGATTTTACGGAGCACTTGCCTTTGCCGGAGTACACTCACCGCGAGGGTCAGCTCAATCTAGCCGCTCGTCTACCCTCCTTCTTTGTGCGTCCTGATCTTGGACCTCGTCTCCACATCGCCCAAGACCTCACTTCTCAACCCAAGGTGAGTTTCACCTTTACCCACCTCATTAATTGGCTCTGGATCTTTAAATCAAATTACCCCCACCGATCACTTGTGTTCAGCGTTGTTTCTCAGGAAGTTAAAAGGGCAAGGAGGATATGAAATTGGCTATACTGCCATCGAAAAGTGGAAGTCAGGTAAAATCCTTGTAGACAGGTATACAATTAGAATAAGTACCATAATGGTATGCAGTCTTCCTTTTCTTTTGAGTATCATTTCCGATGCTCCCCTTGATCGTTATTATACTTCAGACGGCTCAGGATAGTTGAGAAACTGAAACGTGAATAACACAATGGTTTCTAAGGCCGACGAGAAGGCCTTGGTATCTATTTATGTTCCTTTCCTAAACATAATGTTAACCTGAAAAACATTTTACGATAATCAAATTTACTGCGTCGAGTTCTAACAAAGGTAATATTTCCCTAAAAGTTAAAAGGCTGAATAAAGGGCAGAAGGTAAAGTGGTTTCATGGAGCTGTGTTCTGTGCTCATGTTTCCTTCCCACTTTGTTGTTACATCATATTCCTGTTCAAATTATTCTCAGCTTCTTGAACACGGGAGCTTTCCTTGTCAATACGTACTGAAGATTCTGAATCGTTTAAATCTAGTCTCGCTTCACTGTTGGCCACTATGTGAAACTTGAGATTGGAGTGATACCGAATCCCAATGCGGTTTTGGTAGCCTTCTACTTTGATTCTCCATAGGCTTAACCATCCATAGTAGCTGCCTCCCCCCCATACCGTCTAAACTCAGCTGTTAGCCTGTGTAATCTCTATTGCTGTACTTTCTAATTGAATTTGGTTGCCGCTGTCATTTACTGTAGTGCCCAAATCATCACTAAAGTTTTTTTGAAAGCAAGCCGGTCTGGAAGCGGGTTTATTATCAACGCAGATAAGAATTAGGCGACTAGTGGGCGTTGCCTTATGCCACCAGGGGAAAGATCAAAGCAGTGAAGACTGGAAAGGCTCAAGCACTTAGGTTTACGAATGAAATAAACAGTAATGCGTTCGCAGTAGTGCTCGCGAATTCACAACTTTTCCTACCCTTTTCACAAAAAGTTGCTCTACTGGTTACTTACATTTGCTTTTTATGATAACGTTTATGAAAATAACTTCCGAGTTCTCACTTGCTGTCTGCGATTATTGCGGCTTTTAGTAATTCACAAGCCAAACATTTATGTAGTCTTAAATCGTTTTAGCGGGTTTTGAGGTGGTGGCGCCATCGAGGATAATGAATGGGCGTGGTCTCCGTACCCAATTCACTTGCACGCACGGCACGCATTGAATGCATGGTTAACGTATGATGTGCAAACAGACACACCGGAGTGAGGTTTATTTTGCTGCCGAAAATGGGCGACATCATCATCACTATCATGACCAGAATCCCTCAGCGTACAGTACTAACTGGCCAACCAGCACTCTACCCAGTCACCCACCCATTCATTCACTCGCCACCCCCTCTTCTCGTTGGGCGCATCCTAGTTGTTTCCGTTAGGGATATCATGTTGTCCCGTTAGCCCGCTTGCGAGCGTCCAAATTCAGTGCACTTGCACGATGACTCGGAAAATGGTGTTGGCTGTGCGCATCTCCACTTTTTGGGTCATCTAGGCTATCCTCACTTTTGTTTGTCCGTTTAAATTACACCTCGGCTCGTGGATCCTCTTGTTGTTTTCCAACGCAGAAAAGAGTAGTTTAGTAGTTAAAAGCAGCCTTCCAAATTTTTCAATAAGCATTCTTATCTCTAACCCCGTTTAGAATCAATAGTGAATTCCACTGACTTCATAAGGCATCTTATACAGAAGCGATTAAAGCGCCACTTAATGAAATCACAATTTTTTGATTAATCTCTCCGAAGTAGGGATCAAATTCCTGTCATGTGATGTGATCAGGTGCTTTTATGTGTGCCTAATCACTAACGCTTTTTAATGAAGCCCTCTTCGTTGCAGATTGGTACGATGAATCTGCGAGTGGATGTGACGGACGTAATCAATGTGTTGATGACCGCAACCCGACAGATGGAGCAGATGTCGCCAAAGGGCGGAGAGGGTCAGTTGCGCGCCTTCCTTCGCACTGCCAGTGTTGATGTTGCCGAGGTCTTTCTCACCAAAGAACATACCAACGTGTCATCGGCCCGAGGTAAAGTGGATCTCTCCTTCTATTTGATCATTTAAAGATAAACTGGCGGTCATTGGCACGTTTAGATGCGCCAGATCACTGCCGAATCTTGTATATTTTTCTTTCTAGGCTAATTTTGACGGAATTATAATTATCCTATCTGCATACTTCTACTATAGCTGAAACGATCAACTATGGTAAAAGTATAATCTCTCCCCACCTATAGTGGATAACACCTATGCGGTAAACCCGTAGCGGTTAAACGTTGCAACTAGCTAACTCGGTCCCCTGATACTTGTAACCTCCCATAAGACCGATTGTTATTGGTAATGGGAAAAGAATAAGGTGATACATTTTTCCTAGACTTCGGGTCGCATTGCTTCGATATTCAATTATAACTAGTAAAACGGCGATGCCTTTTGATGACAGATGGTTGCTTTAATTGCGTATTGCAGATTACGAGCACTTATATCCAAAAAGGCTAGCTCATTCAATAGCATGACAATAACTAACATTTCATTGCAAAACACCCATTCTCGGTAGACTTCTTTGATCTCAGTAGTTTGGCATTGCTGTGTAATGCCAAGATGACCTTCACGTCAAGCAATTTTCTTACATCCGCACTAGAATGCGGATGTGTGCGTAAGCATGCAGAGCTGGTTATCGCGGAGGTTGCTGGACTCATGAGCAAAACTAATTCGATAGAAATCGGCGATACCAATTTGTACTAAATCAACCGTCAATAGAGGATTTTTTGCACTACTCTTGCTAAAGCTAGGCTCTCGGATTGATACCCACTTCTTTTCATCTCAATGTAGAAATCTGACGACTCTTCCTTTATGCTAATTATAGGACTTCCCGGAGCAGTGTGGCACATTTTCAAGCCGTGTGATACGCCGGTGTTGCGAGAGTACTTAACCAAAGTACATAAGCTCTCCTCCGGTCCCGCCCACCGCGGAGGTAGTGGTGGTGGTGGAGACGCAGGTTCTGCAAAGAACTCGTCCGCTGCTGGTGCCCACGGTAATACCGTGGGTGATGTTATCCATGACCAACGGATTTACCTCTCCGAGGAACAGCTGGAGGATCTGAAGGTGGAGACCGGAATCAAACCTTATACCGTGCTTCAGTTCCCTGGCGACGCAGTATTCATACCTTCTGGGTCCGTTCATCAAGTGAGTATTTTCGAGTAATCTGAAGTACACCTGGCATCACAATGTATCGGAATCAGATTTTCCCATTTCTCTGGCGGCATTACTATTTCCATCTATAAAGACTGCACACGTAAGATGTGGCTTTTGTTGCTTTATCTAAAGGAGGTTTTGCATGATTTGGGTTGTCCCTATTGAGGAGTTTGTTCATTGCTGTCGGTTATTAAGCCTAAAATTAAAATCTCCGGATAACAGATGTTTCAGGCTTCATATCCGAAACGTTAGCCAAGTGGGAATATTTTTGTATTTCGAATTCGTTTTAGTTAATTATACAGTTTTTTTCAAGCAATTATTTGCTACTTCAGATTTTGGTTTCATTGCTTGTCAACCTCCTTGAAATTTTTCCCCTTGTGCTGTTGTCCCTTGATTTTGATGAAGAAGGTTGTGAGCCTTAACAAATTAATACACCCTAACAAATACAAAGTAAATTTTGGGGAGAATGGTAATCATTTTGTGCTTTTGTTCACTTTGGCCATAGAACTGTTTCACCACTACACCACTGGCTCTTACGATGTAACGGATTAACTAGTGTACATGTTCAACACTCCACCTTTTTCAGTATTTTAGAAAACGAATGTTACATTCTGCAATGCAGTTAACATTAAAATCGATTCGTAGCTGTGTGAGAGAGCGAAGGAACGCGCATGCGCCGTTGTTTTGGAAGAGATTGTTTATTGCGTTCGACCTTAAACTTGTGTGCTGATTGTTGATGCGACCGAGTCCAGCCTCTGGCATGAAAGATGTGGCAGCCTTCGCACCAGTAACCATATATTGCAAATTGTGGTGATGTCGAAATGTCCTGTAAAGAGAAGGCATAAATAACCCCACAACCCATGTGGCTATGGAACTGGATTAGGAATTCTTTCTCTAATAATAGCAATACATCATGAATCACACGTAACTTAGGTGTTAGGAGTATTCGAACACTTTTCGCGGGGCTCAGCTACATTTTTCTGAAACTTTAGTTGTTCTAGAGCAAGAAGTGGGAAGAATATTAATGGGCAACGTTTTAGTTGGGCATTTTTGTTTCCCAAATTTTATTATAAGGGCGCCTCCAGGAGCTGTCAACATGTTGCTTGCATTCGATTGAATGCGAATTTGTGGCATAGTACCAATTTTGGTAATGGGACATCACCCACACTTTTTCAGCTTTATTGCTGATCACGATCAGCGTCTCAAAAAAGCGTATCGTTTTTATACATGTACATACACCGGCTTCCTTTTACAAAGCTGTCAGGTGCCATCATAAATGGACTAAATAATGGGTAATTAAGTCCAACTCTCAAGCTTGACAAACGCAGAAAATGCATTGGATGAAAGTTCACCTGCCTGTTGATACTGTGGTAGGCAACGTCATTGTTCGTGCGCATGCGCAACCGTGGTGATTAATTAGCCGGGCCCTGCGCATACAGAATTCCTTTGCGGGTGTGATCAAAGCTGCGCTGTCGCACGACTGACATTAACTTCAGGTCTTGCATTTGTGTTTAGTGCCAGCAGTGAAATCAGCTTACTAAATAGACAGGCAGTTGCATCACATGACACGTTAAAAGTTCTCATACCAGAATTCGGTCGCAGTATGCAAGCGTTTTACAGGCACTCTTCTTCACATTCAGCGGCCAAAATTAGGTATGCTTTTTTTTAACGCTTGTGGTCAATTTCATCAAAACCCATTGTTCTAATTTTATGTAGATACCAAATAAAACAACATCTAAATCTCAAATTTTATGCTGAATTTATCGATGAGGTATTATTCGCAACTCTTACCAGAACCCAGCAGCCAATAAAATATGGCGCCTGTCAAAATCCCAGAAATATACGTGTATACGATTCATTGGTACGATACCTTACTTGATTGAATGAAAACAGAATAGGAAATCAGGCTCTCCCAACGCTACCACCCCGTAGTTAACGCAAGTGGCCTTACATGCAGTGATATGAAAAAGCTCATAAATAAATGAACTTTCGTTATCGGCATGGTCTCAAGGGATCCTGCTGGAACTTGACCGTCACTAACCACTGCGGTAGCCCGCAGCAGCATTAACAATTATTAGAATAACTACTGTCTGTAATCGTGATACTAAGTCATCTCACTGGATGTTTGGCATTAACTTACCATATCTGATTTGTGAGATGGCACATAATTCTGGTTCAGGAGGATGAAGCTCCAAAAGCAGACCCTTATTACCAGGATGTTTGACTTGTGCAATTAGAAGCAGGTTCTGAGTTTAAACTTTTAAAAATAGTGGGATTTTTCAACTGGCAGTCACATAAACAAAAAATTTTGCTGCTATTCTTTTGTAGGTGCGGAACTTGGCAAATTGTATCAACGTTTCCTCGGACTTCATATCGCCTGAGCATATACTCCAATGCCTGGAGTTAACAGAGGAATTTCGCCGATTGCCGCGGAATCACCCCAGCCATGAGGACAAACTACAGGTAAAGAACATGATCTACCACGCCGTCAAGGATGCGCTTTCGACGGTCCTTAAGACGACCACTACCACCTCTGCTTCCAACCACCGCCATCCTTCCTCTCCAACGGTCACCTCCACGCCTTCGGCCCACCAACGCTGCATGTAAATTAAGAGACCCCGTCCTGCCTCAACTCGACCTACTCCATCGCGTATTGTGATGCCTTTCATTTAAGAACCTCCCATACACCCCCACTGCTGCTACCATTACCAACGAGAAGAAGAATGACAAATGTTGCTGACGTGTTTTTTATGCTCTTAATCATTCCGCTTGGTGTGTATGCATACACATGTACCCCCTATATACATACACAAACACACCCAGACAAACTGACGAACAGCGCTGCTGCCTAAGTAATGTGTACATACACCTGCATAGAGTCCGACGTAGCAGGGAGCAGTGCGTTTATGTGCGTGAACTGCCTATCACAGCTACCACCTCAATGACAACACCAGCATTGAGTCTTCGGAAATTGGAAAAAAATACATGTTCAAATCATCTGTGCTGTCTTTTCTCTCTTGTCATGGTGATGCCGCTTATTAAGAGCAATAGCACCCTCTACCAGAGCTCCTGCTAATAAGGATCGAGTGTAACTAGTGTTGGGATAACCTTGATGCCTTTTTGGATGCTTTTAAGTGTAGCTTTTGCTATCCATTGAGAGGTAGCTTAGCCAAAGCGGTGAAGCTCGTATTTGCTGACAGCCTATTATGAGCATAAAGCTTAGTATTTACCGTTTGCAATTGCAGTTGTCGGATGACCGTGACTAATCCCTGCGGGAGCTATAGAAGCAGATTATGTCGATCACCACCTGAAGCAAAGTTCTCACTTAGAGTGAATAGACCAAGTCTGAAGACGATCAATGGCTAAAATTGATGTATGTAACTGCTGCAAGCTGAGTTTTATATGCGCATGGCCTCAATCCTTGGAGCATTGGAGCATTTGTTGCCAATGCAAATGAGTAAGCAGAAGGGGTACGGCGGGTGCACACGCTCCTGGCGGCTTGATACCAATGGAGACTGCCTAATTGTGAATTTAAGTCGGGGATTTTAGTTACGTGTAGTTATAGCACTTGATTAACCTTGGGGTTCGAGTGATTAGTACTACACTCAGAGCACACCAGTGCTCGATAGGGGCCAATCAGGAGGGAGTGAACAAGAATATGACTCCAGAATGTTCGTGAATAGCCATCACCCGGAGCATCTTGGAAGTAAAATAGGAACATCCTCTGGAGTTGCAGGCATTCTTAGCAGTAACAGCCATAAATACGTTAATGGCCAGGGAGTATGTGCAGAAACAAGGGATTATGAAGAAGGTTAGCTTTCATATACGCGAGTTAAAACTGTGGAAAGTATAAGCCTTTGTTTCTCAAACTAGGGGAAGCAGCAATATGTAACGTTGTCGCTTCGGTTTTTGAATGTGCAACAAGGGCTAGTTTACGATTTGACTAGGAATGATGACATTCAAAACACCAGGATTTAGCCAAGTTTATTTATGGTTAAATCATGGTGGAGGTTTCAAGGTGATTTATGGGAATACCATTCGTGTGGTGGTAGTAAAATCTCCCACTTAAAAACACCAGATTAATTTCCGGTTAGTTAATTATTCAACACTGGTTGCGTCAGTATTCTGTAAAATATTGCATTTTATTTGACTAAGGTTTAATCCATGACACTTTTACAACACCTTTTAGGTTACAAGGCGGATGGTTTGTCTAGCGTCGTGTCTACAAATATGACCTACGTATCTATGCCGCATTATTCTCTTACACCATCCATAATGTCCCCTGTGTAGTAAGCACTCTCGATCCAAAAGGTACAAAGTTGGGGGTCGATTGAAGCAACAGAATTTATGGTGGCATAGACAAACCTCTCAGCAATGGCAACTGATGTAGACCTCAAGGATGGCAACAACGCGCCAACCTCAATCTCTGGTTACAATCCCAGGGACAAAACCCCAACAAATTACGCGCACACATTCAAAACCTGTTATTCATCGTCCTGAAAGCAAGCATAACTCCACAAAATGACCTCAAAGTAAGCGCAGTTTGCAACTTTGTAGGAGGGGAGTTGTTAGCTCGAGACTTATCTTTTTCTTATCCCCTGGTGCTCAATGATCAATGCCTCATAGACACCCGCTGTTGCCTGTCTTGTAAATAAAGCAACTTTTTAATTTCAAATCTCCAGTACTAAACCTGAGGTTATCAAAATAGCAGCTTTTGTGATTCACAGTTAAAAATAGTATTTTACCTTAATTGAGGCACAAAGATTGTTACATTTAAATTGCGCATATGCAGGCTAATATTTTACTTTATTAATTTTTTAATAATATTGTTGATTTTACCTTACCTTTTTCAGCTTGGAAATTTATCAGGTTTCTGCGTTTCCATAAAGCTCACTGTCTTTAAGGGGAGTTGCTCATATTGTTGAAGATTGTTGTTACAGAGCCTCGAGTCTCCCCTGACGACGAATTATGACATAATATTTTGGCCAGAATATATACATATCGATATACATTCAACACACGGTAGGGCTGGGGCTGCTGTCGTAGTCCAGAGGTTAGTCCACCCGGCAAAAGTACAATGACGGATGTCCTAAGTGGACCCTTCATTAAAACAGATGGTTAAAAAATGAGTGTAGCACATTATTATTAACCAGAATATGTACTTATGCAAGGCGATTTGGTGACAGTGATAATTTACATATGCATAATTGCGGTGAAAATTTTCCAGCATCTAATGACTGTTAGCATTTGAGCTAGTAATCCACAAACCCTGGATCCGTCTAACGAGACGGTGCCAATTTTGTCTTGCTCCTATGATTGGACTTACGTAGCACGGTGGTGCGAACGTAGCATCCTTCATGACTTCTAAATAAATATTACAAGAAGCGCATTAAGGCTCCTTGATGGTAGTACACAGCTATGATGTGTGAGGTCTACCAAAAGCCTAAAGAAATGGATTCAAAGCATTGTTGTAGAGCATCACGGATAAGGGTAGAGGTGGCGCATTTCACTGAAGTTAAACTGGAGCTAAAATAAGTCAAAGTGAATTTGGTCAGATCTACTAACAAAGTGTCCTGTAGGCTTTTTTTGGCAAAACTGTAACGTTTGTGGATGATGGAACCTCAACTTAGGACTACAAAAACAATGCGTTTATAAATCCATCAGTTGTGGTCGTTCAAGATGCTGAACAAAATATAGATGTCATGACATTAGGAAAAATTCGTGCTTACGGCCTTTCAAAACAATTTACTTATTTAAAAGGATTTCATGGATGCGTCCTGTGCCGCATTGTTCAAAACTTGAAGACCTTCTCCACCATAAGTAGTAATCTTGCAGACAAATTTTGTGAGGTCAATGTGCCTGTCGATTTGTCCGCTATTGTCTGCGATCGGGATCCCTGGTCGTCCACTAGTATTTCATATTCGCATAAAATTATTTAGTCACGCCCCGTACATTTAAAACCAATTCATGAAATATAATCATAAGCGTGGCTATCATTTTTGCTCAAAAATGACCCAATATAATTCCACTAAGAAATGAGTACTAGCTTGGGCGTTTATTAATAATATGTGGATGCCAGTCAGCTGCGGGTATTCCATGTGCCAGAACGAGTTTTAGCAATGTGCACAGCATAGAGACCTTTGTATCGGAAACAAACACAAAGCAACGTTGACAGGTGCGATGTTTTTATGTAATTAACGCTTTGCCCAGTTGTGGTTATACAAAGAAGAGTAGACACATCAGCAAAACAACGTACGTAAATAAACAATGTTGACCTTACCTTCTCATCGAATCTTAAATGCTATCGGTGATCCAAACTAAAGCCAATTTTCATTACGGTCCTATCCACGATCCATCCCTACTAAAAAAAACATCTATTTATTACTTAGTGGTATTATTAAATGATGAAGGTTCTATTTTAATGGCTGCGCACTTGAGAATAACTGCGGAGAGATGTCCTTTTGTGGCATCTACTGTTGTAGCATTCTCTTCCCTGATTGCCCGCAATTATTGCAAAATCTTGCAAGTGAAAGTGCCCCGGTGAAACGATATACTAGCTGATTTTCTGGAGATATGTTTTAGCCCACAAAAATACGATGAGGGAATGCTGAATTTTGATTAGCTTTGTGGTAGTGTGATTGACATAAGCGTTCTCCCCGCTGTATTGGTCTGCCAGGTCTGAAGTGTGCCATTATAGTGTTATAGGCAGGCAAAGGCATATAATTTAGTGGTAAAGAGAAAGCGATTGCCACCTACCCCGATACCAAGCATTGCCCATGTATATCTACATTTAATGAGCTTGGTAGAGTGTGACAACCCAAATGAATGGATATGGACTGCCTGAAATGTGTCCGAGGCGCTTGCGCCGAACTGTAGACTAGACTAAGCACAAGTAGTAACCATTACCACTTCGTGTAAGGCTCTTAATTATTATTTTACATGTTATGCTTGAATGACCAAATACGCACTATCCGCGGCGTCTATGGAAATAGGAATCCTGGGTCTTGTATCAGTAGTAAATTACTAACTCAGGGCTAAGCAAAAAGGAGGCTTTGGGTACTGCTTTACAGTGCTTGATTTTTGAACCAAGTCGTCTTGCATGTTATTGAGTCAGGTTAATTTGTTGACTAGTGTGTATGAATAAGCATAAATGTTGCCTAAAATTAACATTTCTCCTTTTGACTGGTATTGGTCACCTACTTTTGGCTTTTCGTAAAGCGCAGAAAGGTAATGACAGACTCCATAATCGTGCGGCAAGTTTTTTGCTTTATACGTGTGCTTATGATAGGCCAATGCGACAGGAATCACGTGTTGTTTTGACCAGCTGCCTTCTTCATGATTGCAGATGCAGAATTAAAGGCTGCGCTAGCAGCAACTTATTTATAGTATTCCGCAGTCATATCGTAGGTTAAGGTCGTGCTCTCGATGAGATATTACACCTCAGCGTTAGTAATTATGTAGCAAGATCAACGCGCCTCACCGTTGCCTCATTCTTGCGTAATTTTTACTTCATCTACGCCCCAGCTGTTTTTTCTGCTTCCGAGATCAAGTTATCTACTCTATGGGTGGGTGGGTAATCGTTGTGTGCCTGCCTAAAAGCTTTCGTTAACTGCCTGACTGACTAAATACGCAGTTCTTTTTATGCCGTAAAGGCCACTTAGATGGACTCACAAAGGGCACATATTTAAAAAGTTGCTGGTAAATCGATCTTCAAGACATAAGAATGGCTTTCACTTCAGATAAAAAAAATAGTGACGTTTACTTAAAATAATGCGAGATTTGCATAAAGTAACTCATGAAAATCTACTAGCACACCACCTAGTTCGGTTTATCTCCACCCAGACAGTGTCTACGAACAGTTTATAATTTCAAAACTTAAAATAGTACAACATTAGTTGTGAGGATTGCATACTTGTTTCAAGTGTACATAAATACATAGACCATCACTAGTCCCCCAGCCCTTCTTTTCGTTTACAATAAGCCTACATCCTGACTAATGCACTCTTCAGGAATGATTCGAGGGCTGCAACTGTAAGCGCAGATCAAGGGAATTATTTATTTGCATGTAAATCAAAAAGTAACGTCTGCAATGATTACGTGAGCACTTAAGCTCCACGATTTTGTTTCTCTTCCTTCCCATTCGCAAAACATATAGCAATGTTGGCAGCAATAGTGTTGATAAAGTGGTCGCTGCTAAAGGGCCAAAGCGGTGTACTTGTATTTTTATTTGCCACCACGATACCATGCTTCAGAATAAACACCATTCTACCACCGCCTTGCCTTAGAGTCTGGTAAGTGGGCCGCTCGTGGTCACGCATTATTGTAAATAGGTTGTTTTGTCTATCGCCGTAACCAAAATGAACAATGTTTAAGCATTACACAAGTGATAGGACTTGAAGCCTGTCTTACATTAGTCACTAACCGATAAAAGTAATTATTTCCTAAAACATCTAAATTTCGACCAAAGGTTATATTGAATAAAGCTGCCTCTGCTTACGTGAATTGTAAACGAAACCGTGCACAATTAAACACCATGTAACCATCAACCTATGGGTACATATGTGTGTTTGGCGTTCATTTTGCCAAGGTCACAAGGTCATAGGGAGGAGTCAACAAATGACTTCTCACTGGTGGCAGTACTTTGGTGAATAATGTAAACCGAGTAGGTTTTTGAAGAATGGAAGGTCGAGGAGCTAGAAAAATGTCAATGGCTCATCTGTGTCCTATTTGTCAAGCCATTGTTTCGATGCAACTTGGGACACCAACCAAGCGCCACGTTTACACGACTCTGTCTGAAGTAGAAGCCGGGGATTGGATATGCAACGAATTATTTAAAACAACAGAAACAAGAACTTTACTTACGGATATAAGATTTTTTAGTCATGGCAAGCAACACATTGATACACCAGTTACTATAAGAGAAAATATAGATTTGGACTAAGAAATCCTTATCAAACGGTTATTATGAGATAACAATAGACTCACACATGCTGGAATCCAAAGGGGCATACGTTTCCATTTTTGATACGATACTTTATACTGTCAGAGATCCACCCTTTAGGCTAGAAATCAGCCGAAATAGCAGTTACTGTGAGGTTTTTACTTCTTCCAGGTAATTAAATTGCACCCGCGGCGTAGAGACTGAGGAATTACGTAAAACATATTTGCATAAACATCCACTGTACCGTACATTTGCATTTCAGATTGCTTCAAATTCCAACAAATTAAAGTAGTTCTAGCGAAAGTGACCAGTCACTCAGTCACTTTTTCACTTGCGAAACTTTCCGAAAGGCTAAGAAATAAAAATTAACTATGGTTAGTTTTGGTCATTATACAGGGTAATAGCATTATTTACTGGATATAACTTACAAATGGAATATTTTTATAGGAGTTCCATTTAAAAAGGCATGATTGAAAATGAAATGAACTTAATCGAATTTTTTTATTGAGATATGAAGGTGTGCCTATTTAGGTATAATTGTAACAAAACTATTTTTATTTTGATTTGGCATTTAACCACCAAAGCACTTTAGTCTCTATGGTTTCGGCTTCCTGTTTGGTATCCCAGCCTCCTGCCTGTGGTTACACACCCGCTCCTATTATAAATCAAAAAAATAGTAAAACGTCAAACGGCACCGGTTTGGCATACATTGGTTTCAAGGGAGCACACTGATGCCGGAAGTAAAAGAACTCGATCCGAAGGGACAACTATCTTGATAAGCTTGGTTGATTACCGACCCACTATACCACAAAAGAAAGACAGATGGCATGATCCGTGTAAACTAACCAAAGGAGGTCATAGGAACCCCATTTACTGCAAAAAGGTAGTAATCAACTGAAGCGACACCGACTTGAACGATTTAAAAATGTTCATTGCAGAGAGGCCTGCTATACCTGTGTAAAGATGTACAAATCAAAACAATGAATGAAATTTTCTCTGTGCCCCTAGCAGCTGTACGGAAAGCAAACTGATTGTTAGGTGGGATGGAATTGAGAATAGAGTGGCAAGAAGGAATAAATGGAAAATATTAGCTTATTATTATTCCTGCACTTCAAAATTAGTGTTCTTACGAACAGTAGTTAGAATGTGAAGTGCACTAGATTGGAGAGTATTACCTACCCTTAAGCAGTATGAGGCCAGTAAATTCCCTCCTCCAAAACATATTTTAAAAAGTACAGAACTCTTGACCCATTTGAATAGACGAGGTGAATCACTGACGTTGGGGTCAAATGTTCTTCTGCTTTGGTAAAAATTTATTGACAGTAGCCTATGATTGCTACCTGATATTTCAAACATCAACTACATTACAATGATCGAGTCAGCAAGTTGGTCAAGAGGAGCGTCAGGCACGCTGCTTTTGAGCAGGGAGGTATGTAGTGCCCCGGCATTTGATAAGTGTAGAAATAATTATGCCTGGCCTTGGTCTCTACAAGTCGTATTTTAGTATTAGTAATATAAGCTTTCGGTGGCACCAGAGGCATAAAAACCTTTGTGATGAATTCCCTCTTCAAAATACGCATTCTTGAACAGAGCTTCAGGAAGAAGAGAGGAGATTTGTCGCGAAGTGCTCACAACTTTGAAATTAAGTCTCCTACATGTTATTATTACTGTTATAGGTTTGCGGATTGTTTTCTGTATTTATTAGTTAATTAAGTAAGGGTTGAGGTGGCCTCTACGAAGCCGCTGTGATGGCACACCTTTACGGTTAGCCACACCATAATGAAGGAAATTGAGACTACTTACAAACACAAGTAGGAATTAAAGCATTGTTAATTTATATATGCCTTGAATGACGCGGGTTTGCAAACCACCCATGAATCAAAATTACAAACTAAAATTCACTAAAGGTAAATTAAATTGGGGGTGATTTCTTGACAAACTTATGTTGCCATTATTAAACAGTTATGAAACATATAGTCGCTACCATATCTCTAGAATTTTGTAAAACACCTTACATTACGCTTTTTAATGAACAAAAGTCATGGGATTACTCGCAGACTCAAAATTAATTTTTCCAGAATTTACAGATAAACGAGGGTTAAATAAAATCCATGGCTTGCGAGTGAGTCGAGAGAAAGGCGTTCTTCTTAAAGCCTCCTACAACGGGATTGCACCATCTGCTAGTCCCTATAAGATTACAAGCAAACGGTCTTAACAATCACTGGGTAATGTTTTCCGGATATACTGCTATTCTAATGAATGTATCATTGTGTGAAAACAGTTAAATGCCTACTCTATTTAGTTTACTCACTTTTTTGAGTTAAGTTTTCAATTTAAGCATGATTGTTTGAAAGGTATTTGATGCTTTTCTCCCACTGCATATGTTAGTCTTTCTCCAAAAGGCGTTTCTTGCATTTTCTACGGCTTTGTAAAAATGAATTTCGGATGCATTAATTTACATATCAGTTGAAAAACAATAATATTATTAATGAAGGAGGGTCTAAATATGAAAGGAGTCCCAAATCAGAGGTTATTTCCATTACTCCGGTTTCAGCTGAGTCAGTGCCTATTTAGGTAACCCCACACTTCCGCTCCCTTTGTTTTAGAAAACAAGGTTTTAATTTAATTCACTCTAAAAACAGCGCTTACATGTTTATTTTTTATAAGGAAGTAAGGGGGAATACCCGGATGTAATTATTTGGGGAGGTGTAGGGTGTATGGATCCAAGACTGATTGATAAGTCCGACCTCAAAAACCTGACTCAATGTGGATTGTTTGTTTTATCGCAGATATCATAAATCAAGTTGTTCTTTTATGATTTCCTTTAATTGGATCTAAACTTTGGCATTATTAAATTTTATGAAGATTCAGCTAACCGGTAGCATTCCGACTGTGCTCTCGGATTCAGCTTCTAGCTCCTATTAATGCTTTTTTAAGAAATTGGCTGCAAACACCCATGAACACAAGGTGATAGATATCAGATAAGGTAGATCATGGCTGCTTAATGCTCGCTAATCTCCTAGTCGCATCACGGTCATTAATCAGTAAGTGTGTGCGAACGAGACCGCAAGAAGCCGATTCGCTATCGCCTTTTCTTTGTTCTGAATAAAACGCGCAGGTTCATGCCAGCGATAGCTTTATGGTCTTTTATGCGTTCACTGTTTGCCTCCCTTACAAGCTTTCACTATAGGACGACCTGCAAGGGTTTTTTGCTGGTAAAATTCATCACAGTCTTGCAGAAACGTATTTTAAAACTCCTCTTTTTTGCTGATGTAATGCATGCACTGAAGACTAGCATTGCCTAGCTATAATATTAAAACAAAAAATGTGTCTTGAATGATCATTTTGAACTCGTGTGCAGCGGAGCCCTACCGGTGCTCTTCTCTTATACTAAATTTAAAGTCGTTAATACTTAGGATTAACTCGTCTGTAAGTGGCTGTTCAAATTATAAAAAAATTCAATGATGTTACTACAAATACCTTGTTATACACCACAGTAGTTGAACAGCTAGTGTTGCCTCTCTGCTTGCGAATTTTAGGCTGGTAACCAAGCGCCAACTTCTTCTTAGCCTCAAATCACCCCTCTGTAGAGCACAGAAATTTATTTCTGCGTTTCAGAATACATTTTGCATTCTCAAAGTTACTCATTTGGAAGATGAAAGTCAAAATACTTCTTACACAGTGACATTATTTTGCAGAAACGGACCCAACAATGATCGGGAAACTAAGCAAATGTGTGAAACTTTTTACTTGCAAGGGTAATAAAGCATCCCAAATCTACCTGGTTCCATCTGGGACCTGGAAATGCAGTTGTACATTTGATATGAAGCGATTTCAAAGGAAGGGAATATCGATGAGAGAGGTGCTTTTACTCAGATATCCAAGAATCATATTTTGCAAACCATCAAAATTATTTTTGAAATCCAATCTGAACAAATTACGTTCTTGAACTGCAAATTTTCTAGTAAATGGGTGCTGGCTCACCTCACGTTTAAAGAAAGGGAACAATTCACATCCTCTTCCTCTTTGATTCATCAGCTTTAATGCAGTATCAAATATTCTCTTTTTTCGGTCGTTCAAAATGGAAAACATCTGCTCTATTCTGTCGTTTTTGTGCCTGAGAATCTCGACATCAAGTCTACTGATTGAGTTTCCGTTACGATGCAAAATAATCGAATTTTGTGTATATATTCCGACAATTACCGAGTAGTTCATTTTCGGCCAACACTTTCCATCCAGTATACCCATTTGTAGATAACATCAATGTACAAATTACCTTACATATAAAGCGGTTAAGCATGAAATGTTAAGAAGGTTTTTGCATATTCCATCGGTTAATGTTGGGTTTTAGTAAAAGCATAGTTCCCATTGTTTAAAATAGTCCGTTTGTTCATTCCTAGGATTATTTCAACTTGGGAAAGTGATCGGTTGTAAACTCCAGTACTAGAAACCTAAACGCCAGTTTAACTAACTCAAATCAAATAATAACTTCAAAGCCTGTATGATCTTATCAATAAGATTTACTATAAGATGGGCTCATATATGAAAGCCATCCATTTGCCGATTGCCCTGTGATTCTGTTCCTCACCGTTCAGTCCCACTCGTCTATCGTTCGAGACAAGAGACCTCTGCAGTATCCAGGGTCCTAAAGAGAAATTGTGTGGGAATGTGAGGCGACGGCATCACCATTAGTCATACAAGGATTTGTGCATCGTCTGCACCGATGTGCACTGGCGGTCCCATCTCGCGGACGTGGCTTTGTGGATGGAGGAAGCATGGGTGGCTGGGTGTATGATCTCGGCGTGATTCACAATGCCCCACTCTGGCATCAGTCCCACTGTAGTCTTAACCTTAGGTCCAGTGGGACACAACCATCATCAAATAAATTATCGGACGTACATCAAAACCTGCATAGTGGGGGTGTAGTGGTGTAAACATATAAAGATGAGGCTGATACCTGGTCCTGCTCATAGGCCAATGACTACCTGTTGTGCAAGTGGGCTTGGGATCTGAGCTATGATAATGGTAAATGCCCATATATATGTCAGTTTTGGTTACGTGGATATCACTAGATTACACATTCACGTTTAGAAAATTTAAACTGCTGATATCTTAAGCTCTTTTGTTTATAAATGACCTTAAGCAAAGGTTACAACAAAAATGGCAAGGCAGTGCCTTATCAATCCGATGTTTTAGTAATTTGATAATTGCGCAAATATTCCAAATAAAGTATTTTCAGAACAAATAACACCACTGAAATCGAAATCGCTAATCAGCGTTACGTTTAGGAGGAGAACAGGAATGCATTGTAAAAAGCACTAATATCGAATTCAAGTCTTAAATGAATCTTGCATTTTTGAGCAACGTGAGGAGGAAGAATGATGGGAAATTTTTTTTAGATGACAGGAATGTTTTCACTCAGCATCCTCCGATAAAAACGAAACCTGGCAGCACGCAGAACTAATAAAAATGGGGTTAATCCCGCCATGTTGATTTCCCTAATGACTCCATCTGGCGCATCGAGGTCTTGTTCTCCTGCCTCTGCCTTGACAAACTTGCCCTCCCATTTGGTTCCGTCTGGAAGACATGCATTAAAAAACCTCCCATTCAACCCTCCATCTGCCCCTCGGCGTGAACTTTATGAGGCTATGCTTCTCGATCCCCTCATTGACGCATCGTAAACACTACCCATGTGGTCGTACACCTTAATTTTAATCACGTCGTATTCATTTTACCACATGTTAAAGTTCATTTCGTTTACTTTTTTTAAAATAAATATCTTCTTAATTAGAATGAATATGCTTGGAACCGATTGGTGAAGTCCAAACATGCATTTAACGTGTACCGCATCAATAAAAATGGTAGTTATTACAATGACACTACAGGGTCCACAATCCTGTAAGTAAGTGATAATGGATAGTTTGAATTTTGTTGATTCATTTTAGCGTTTCTACTTCTACTTAGCTGTTTGACCGAACAATCCAGTGCTTAATGTGATGATCATCGCTGATTCCGTAAACCAAATACTCTAGATATCGGGCTTTTTCATCCCACACATGACCACAGCATGTCAGTCTTTTCATAGCCAACTACCTATTATTAAGAAAATAAGACAAGATTTTTTGATTACTTTCATTGAATTTTGGTGGGTCCCTTCGTGCTCTAATTCGATTTGAATGATTAATATGAATACGATTTTTTTAATAATTATGTGCTTAAAGTTGAAAATAAACAGCGAAATTGTTAACAATAATGATCTTATAAAACTTGTAAGTAGAAGTGGGAACACCTCAAGAATACCTCCCTTTGAGTAAGGTATAAGTTAACGAAACCCCAGTCTTTGGTTTTTAATTGAATACGACAGGGAACAAACTTTTTAACATGCGAGGAGTATGTGAACCTATCAACAGGTATGTGTAGCAATTCATTCGCCAGGGCGAAGAAAACTGAAACTTGGTTTGTTTCCAACACTCATTTAATGATAATCTCTTCACCAACATAGAAGTTACTTTTTTAAGTAATTTGGACCAGAAAATTGACAACCGTAACGACTGACGCAACAATTAATTGTTGCGTAGTCAAGGTTGATTGGAAACGTTTTAAGATATAACGGCCTGGTAAATGTCCTAACAACCGATGGCCGTTGGCTTTGCATTTGTGGACGTGATTCATATGACGCAGCGTCACCATCCCCCCGTTGACGATATATAGGATGGATGATCGTTCCCATTGCCAGCTTAGCAACTAAACAAATAACTAGAGGCAGTGTGAAAAAACAGGTCCAGTGGGAATTGCTTAACAATTTATGATTAAATTTTCCAAATTAACTGATAAGTTGATCGGAAAACCGCCAAGCCTTAAGGCGTTTTTTATATCATCGTCTAAGGCCGAATGTAAAGTAGGAATTTAAGCATATGTTAAACATCATTTTATTTTTGAATGGCTCTGCTTAGAAACAAAACGAAAACTTCCCAATAATGCATGTGTTTAAAGATGCCAAACTGGCGAAATTAAGTCCCCTAAGCTTTGTCAGGTCAGTCAAAATTGGCTTATTTTTAGTTAGCAGATATCAGTACACATGTAGTTAATACATCTGACATCCAAAATAGACATACTTTTAAAGATGGATCACGCGGGGTCTAGGGTCAAGCACTTGAGTTTTCAGCAATATCATTTCTTCCACCTTTATCTCTCCGAAAACCTATAGAACATTCCGCCACGGGCCGATAGAAAATTGAGAGAAGTTTCATTTGTGGGTACGTATGTTGTTCGATTTTCTGACACCTCTTATAACATATTTAAGTAACTAGGTATTTCGTGCATTACTATTATTATTTATACGATACACTGCATAATTAGCACGTCCGCAACTTGAATAAACAAAGGACATATATCCATTATCGGCGACATGAGTAATTTGTTTTGTGTGCTCTCACACCTATGAATCCACGTGTAGCTAAGCGAGGATTTTATTAGTTGGTGAATGAGAAGACCTAGGGGAAGCTACAGACACCGCTGAACGCTCAAACATTGTCGTTACCATGGTGCGACAAGCCGTGACGTCGAACTAGGCAGCTGCGCAATTTAGCGACATAGATACACAGCTGAACTCTTCACCCCTTTCCCTATAATTGAAATGGGGCGTGATCTGCGTGACATGACCATGTATTGCGCAACAGTTGTTACTCCACTAACATTAAATCGGTTACCGCGGTAGGCGCAGCAATATCGAAAGTTGTGAGTCAATTACTCAGCCCACCGGATGAAATGTTTAACAACTTGTCAGGTAAGAACATGGAGAGACACTCATTAGTAAAAAGGTCAATCTCCTGTTTAAGGTTTGCTTACTAACTTTTGAACAACCATTCCTTGGCCTTACCGGTTTTTTACTTTTAATTCAAACGGAGTTAGAGTAACCAAACATACTCTCAACCAGCCATCTAAAGACCTCAAGTCTTATTTTAAATTATTCAAAATGAGGCACGAAAACAAAACATAAAATGTACGGGACAGTTTTCCACACAAGCCGGGTTTGAATTGGAGGAAATTTTCGTTATAAGTGCGATTAAATCCCAAGAAAGCCTTAACTATGCTTTTATTGTGTAAAAAGGACTTCATTTGGGCCGTGCGCTGTTTATCAGGGAGTTTTTAAAGTTGTCTTAAGCGTATCCAGCCAAGCTTGCCACCGTCACCAGGTTTGAAAATCATGCTCGGAAGCCAGGACAACCTGGGAGAGCCAACCATTGTGACCCAATATCTGAAAACGTCACGATATACGTTTGATAAAGTTAGCCTCCAAAGCCGAAGACCGGATTAGGAGCCAAGACCCCCATTAGGTTCGAATCTGAACCTCGAATTCTTCGCGCAACAGATTAACGCGTTAAATCAGAGATTTATTTACACATTCAAATTTCACAATAGTGAAAATTTTGGAGCCTTGGTGAAAATATTATACTACACAGAACATCTAGAGTTTGTGGGGGTTTTACAACCAGAAGTCAATGTTACGCAGGGCCTTTCAATCTTGCCTCGATGATAGTGCCTTCGCACAGGCATACGCTGTAAGCATGTATGCCTGCGAGTCGCGCTCAAAAGTCCCACGTGAGTAGTACCGTCAGCAGCCCTAATTCCAGAATTTGGGTAAATATTTTCAGCTATGGGAGCACCCATATCTCCAAAAATCGGACTACCGATAGCCGCCGGCTTTTTGTGCCAATTCTGCTCTCGGTGTGGCTGTTTCGGCTGTTGATTGACCGATCGGATGGTGGAAGACAGGATGCCAAAAAGGGGACAGCATAGTGAACCCACGTTGCCCACGCCCAGACTGGACGAGGAATACGTCGTGGAAATCTCACCCCCAAGACCACCATTCACCTCAACCACTGGTGCTCTAGAAGTTTGACGCTTCGCTAAAGCACCGCTAAGGACCTGAAAGGGGAAATAAACACTCTCAAGCACAAATTCTGATGTGCAGAGGATTTTTGAACTTGAAACCAACCGCGTTCGAAGGGGTTTCAAGGCGCCGAAATGACGTTCGGTGCATGGAAGAAGGAGAGACCAACAACACATCCCTCAGCCGTTTGCGCACCTGCGGAGTCAGACCACCATTTGAGTTATTAATCCTCTGCACTAGACGAGCCTTCCTTGGGTCGGAATCGGGCAGAGCCTGCACAGTGGCGCAGAGCTCGGCTACTGCACATTCCGTAATTGTCAGACCAACATCACACAGATCGCTCTGAATGCCGCCCTGACTCTCGCTCGACTTGGCAAACATCAGGCCCGTGTAGAGGGCATCTCTGGCATCCTCTTCATGGCCAGAAGAAGTCATAGAACAGGTGTCCAAACCGGAATCTTTTGAGGGGGAACGGCCACCCAGCAAGCCATTGGATGCCAGGTTTCGATCCATGTCGTCAACGAGAGCCTCTGGAATGCCGAACACACCCTCAGAGCCCTGGTTAATCATTAGAGTGGTGAGGCTGTTCAGTGTATCATAATGCTTGTGCAGGTCGGGGTTAGGGGACTGAAATAAGTTGGGTTACAGTTACATTGCCCATTAATTGAAATAACCAATAAGTAAGTATACCTACACAGGTTGGGGCGAGGAGCAGTGGTCCAAAAATGGTACCCAGGCTCTCGGCAGACATGCCATTGAGTTGCGCATAGCTCACTGTCTCAGTTAGGAGATCGAGAAGTCGACGTAATAGCCGTTGATTTCTCTCGGGGAGGAGGAAACGCAGAATCCGAACTGCCATCAACTGCTTTGCTTGAGCCACTTGAAAGTCTGCTGGACTTAGAGGCACTTGCACTCCCTCATCGTTAACATGTCCTGAAGTGATCTCTGTAGAAAATAAACATGGGTTAGGCAAGTCGGTGAGGGAACGAAGTATAACATACTCGATACGGATACGAAAATTGGAAGGAGCTCCCGGGTGAGAATCGGATTACGCATTTCTCGAAGCACATTCTTTAGAGTGTTGGCGTAGTCATGACCCTTAAGCTCATCAAAAGTACCGGGTTTAGCTTCAGATGCCTCTGCTTTAACCTTAATAGATCTTCTGCAAGACTTTCGACTCCAAGGGAAGCCAGACGAAGAGGACGAGGAGCTTGATGGCGCACAGTCGCTGGTGTTTACGAAACTGACAGGAAAGGAGACCTTCACCCCTGAAAGTATGCGCCTGCGGAGCTCTCGTTGGCGAACTATGTTCCCACTCTTTCGGAATATCATCTCCATTTTCAGGTCTAAGAGGAGACAATCTTTTTACATCTACAACCACGTCTGTAGGAAGCCCAGGCAATTCAAAATATAGCTTACTTTCATCAGTCGACAAATGATCCATGAGCTTCATGATATTTTCGTAGATGGCATTTATCCTCCGGGTTCTCGCCGAGCCAGACAAGTCTAGATTTAATGCAGAAACGGAAATGACGATCGGCAGCAGAACCAATGATGTACAAAATTCAGCTAGAGTGCACTTGCCATTGGTTGACTCATCCGATTTGTGCATTTGCCCCATAGAGCTGGCTAATCGTGTCCATGGTCGATTTTTCTTGTGCTTACACGTCGCATCGCCAGTAAATTCCGTTCCGGTGCACGCCCGAGGATTGTAGTTATTAAAGTCAGCAGGCAACTCGACTAGCAGAGAAAGGTGAAATTTACAGAGATCGATGAACTGTTGTGGCTTTTGGTTTCTGTACAAATTTACGTAGTCAACGGCCGCAGTCGTTGCAGCAAGACGATCAGCATAAGCCATGACAGTATCCTTTCAAGAAAAAATGGCAGTTTCAGAAAAGCATAATACTTGCAGATCTGCAGTACAGTTTAGCTCTTACCCTTGGATGCATTTGTACCTCTCTTAAGCGTGCAGAACACCGAATTATAAACATACCTGTAATTTTTTAGCGGACGGTGTGGGGTAAACAGATCTTTGGCGATGAGGAGCCATTCAACCGAGCGGGGAACACCAGAACAAGGGAAAGGGGAACTGCACGTGCGTGGGGCGGTGAGCTCTATTAAACCTAGAAATGCTTGTAAGCTGATTGGACGTCGTCAACGCATCAGCGTCCACCAGTAAAAATTGGACGACACAGGAGCCAATGAGGGAGGGACTGTCATCCTAGTACAGTATTAAAATCCTCTTCACCTTTGGCGTAACAAGTTGATGAATTTCCTAGGTGTTTAGTGGTTGGTGATTTGTTCCACTCATAATCTGACAAAAACTCGGGGGAGTAATTTGTTTTTGGGACTGGATAGACTAAAGATCACCAATTAACCTGAAGGATTTAGGAAATTATCTACTTGGATTGTTATTACGCCAATAAACACTACTTTAAGTGCCGTAGGGTAGTTTTGTAAATAGACTGGAAAATTCCAATCCATTTGATATTATTTTGACCCAAACAGTTGATTAATTTTGTTAATCACTTGTACCAAACGTAGGCCTTCTTAGCAAGTATTGGATCCGAACTAGAAATGCGCTGATGGTGAAACTGAAATACTTTGAGCTTCTGTGAATGCTGGAATTGGACCGAAAAATCTTAAGCAAAAGCGTCGTTCTAATATCCACTTTTGACCTGCAAAAAGGTATGACATTTTCTATTATCCACCAAAGCAAATTATCGCTATCTCAGACTCGTGAGGCGAATCTACTCTCTTAAAAACGCCTGTAAGTGGACTTGCGCCGCCGCATCAGTCCGCCTCCACGCGCACACAACATGAATTATCGATTTTTGCATCTACCCAGGGGGCCCGCCAACCCACTTAAGCGCGTTGCTATACCCGCAACGTCTATCCGACGTGTTTTGGCTTGTCTGTGGAAAGCTGACAAAAAATTTGCACCTGTGTTCCCATTGCAGACGCCGCCGCTCCTCAATCCGTGATACCTGCTCATCGGTTGGCCAAGCGCCCTCATGCATTTCCAAAAGCTGGGACCACCTAATAGCCTGAATGCCCTGCGAACTGCTCATTTTCGCGACGCCAGTATTACCGGGAGCGGAAGTTGTGATCACCCCGAAGTAACAAATTAGCGTAAAGTATTAGTGTCTCACTCTGTAAGAAACGCGGTTGCCAAATTCATAAATGCCATTTCTTCATGTGGGGATGTCAGGTGGCCAAGAATCGAAAATTAGTAGAGAGCTCTTCAAATGCGACATTATTTTGCCAAATCCTGATGTACCACGCCAAGTTAGGCTAAGGATTACCATAGTCTTGGAGCTCTGTCTACCATTTGGTTTGTCCGCAAAAATACGTTATTGAATTGACTACAAATTCATTTAAAACCGCACAAGTGCTGTAACTGCAACTTTGTCTTCATGCATAATTTTTCAATTTTGTCTTATTATTTAGTCCACAAAAATTATCACTAAAGAAAGAAGACTGTACTGCGACCATGGGTTCAAGTGGCTCTATCAACTGATGCACTGAAATAGTCTACTTTACAGGTAGACCTAACATCGAAACCAAATTGGTGGACTTGACTCACGAATGCTTGATAGATAGCACGAAATTTAAGGGTATGCCAGCCATTAGAGACAGATTGGCGAATTAACATATGGTTTAACTAAAACGGAACTATTCCATGCGTGGGAAGAAAGTCTGAAATGTTCCACTTTTACTAAAAGCAATTAGAAAATCCGAGTAGAAGGATGAGGGCTCAGAGAATGTAAAATCACTCAGCTAAGAGGTATTTTAACCTGCAGGTCAGCTTCCCTTTTATATGCACAGATTTGAAATGATTCATAGTCCATAATTAGATTCGCAGCTGCTAATCGACTCATAAGGATAACCATTTGAGAACGTGATTTAGTTGTGATCTCGGAACACTATTGAGGAAGGGAATTAATTACCTCCTAACTTGTCTATAGGTCATACAAATCACGCATCAGACACGTCAGTGCGATATCACACACGTGAGTCATCGTTCAAACGCCATTTGTTTTTAAAACGAAAGGGGCACTGAATGTGACAGTCCTCACCATAAAATGAACGAGGGACACAGCATATAAACAAACCGAAAGCAAGTAATGGAGGTGAGCCCTCAATAAGGTGGGCTATTAGTATTTTTTACATATTTTGCATTTTCTTAACATTTAAACATGGCATTTTATTTTACGGACATGATGGCTAATGCTAAATGTTAATTAGGATAAGTTAACTCTTAAAATGTGGGATTTATCCGGTGATTAAGAAGTAAGAGAATCTACCTGCTAACTCCCGTTAGATCACACAAGTTGTCATTGCTAGAGAAGATAGAAGAGCAGGTTTTCTGCGACTACTTTTATAGGACATGCTAATCTTGTAGATATTAACTTAAGTACACCAAATAGACAACTTGGAACACCCAACTCCAGTGTGCGTTAACGCATCAAGTGGAAGAACTATGACAAGGGTTCACCCGATTGCCCAAATCACATTAGCACATCATGCATTTGCTCTCTTGCAAGAAACAACAATCTAATCGCAAGAGGAGCCTGGAGAGCAGTTGATCGCGTCTCCAGCGCAGTAACTGCTTCAGCGAATACCGGCACAAACTGAATTTCACCGCCTCGTCGGTCAAGGTTATGTGGTCGAGGAGATAACGAATTATTTATATTTTGCGGCAGCTGGGTCAATGCGACTGCCCGACAACGTCCGTGCCTCAGTCATCATCATCAAGACTCGCAACCGGTCACTGAGGTGTCTGTACCCCGATGGGCATTTAACTCATCGCCAATGCTAACCCCGTCACTTTCAAGCTACCTATGCCATGGACGCGTCATACATTTAGTGGCACTCACATTTGTCGGAGCATTTACTGCCTTGCTTTCTGGCCACGTGAGTAACATTGCCAATGCAATACACTTGCGCTTGATTAATGCTAACGTAATGGGCACAAGATGAGTAAATTGTCCACGACATTCGTGAAGAGACTTTGACTAGGATAATCAAAATGCCACCACATTAGTTTCAATGTGATCAGCCCATCAGGTTGTCACCTTAACTGACTCAACACGTCTGAGATGGTTCCACAACGGCAGAGATATTCACACAAACTGTATTCATAGTCACGTTTCTAGGTGCCCCAGTACTGCCAACCGTCAACTTATTGCGCGCAGGCTGATGGAATTGGGTAATAAACGGGAAGATCTCTCACCTCACCTAATATTCAGCAGAGATAGAAATTCATTCCTTATAACACCATTTGCAAATGCACTGTATGGTTTTTAATTAAGCTATGAAGGTCAAATAAAGATAAACTTGTTATGACCCCTGAACCATTCTTGACGCATGACTGACAATAAGCACCACTTTGGTCATCAAAAGCATCGATTACAAATCATTTGAATAAATTAAACTCACTTCCTTGATCCAATCTGATCAATTAGGCAGCAATAAACGAATGAATAAGTAGAATAAGTCTGATATTTACAATCAACTAGAGTAAAATTTCTTGAACGAGCATGTTATCCTCAATACTAACAGAACTGGTTTAACCAAAAATATGAATGAATGAATGACAAGGAAAAATACCAGCTTTGAACGACGGTGACTCCAGGAACGAAGTTGATACCACGCCATAAAACCAAGATATTTCGATGATATGGGCGCCTGGTGTCGTTGAGATAGAAGTCGGACTAGGACATTATTTATGTTTATTCTCAGTCACCTAAATTAATATCACCTTTTCTACATGTTTTACCCTCGGTTTAGGAAATGCTGATAACATAAAGCACATAGGTGCTACTTCCCATTATTTAGGTCTTGTTCAGTGAAATGCACTAGAATAGTAAATAATAGAGGCTAATCCGGAATGCCTTCCAATATCTGGGCCCAATCTATCTTCCAACAGCAGTTGAACTTGATATCAATCAAACCAGTCGTTTTTTTAAAGCGATTATTTTATGGTCTGGGGTAATGATAAGTCTGGGTGGAGAAAGGAACGAGGGATAGGTAGGCGACAAGTCACTAAATGAAGGGGTGGAAGTAAAGGGGTCAAGGCACCAACGTCTAGGGTGTTACGCGTGTGACAATTTTGAGCGTCTATTCTTACCACACATCAGCATTAGCATCGCCATCAGTCATGCGTCGTGAGTCCTCGATAGAGAGGAACATGTCGGTTGTCCAGTCACTGCTTTCCATCATGTAGCTGTGCATCAAATCTGACGAAGATATGCTCTCTTTTATACAATACTCATAAAAAAATGATTGTAGCGAACCCAACAATGGATACTGGTGCCTGCAACCAGTAGAGTGCCCTTTTATTGTTTCAATGTACAATACGGAGGATTTACGAAGGTGTCCATTCAATGTAGACCTTGATTTTTTGGGTAACGTGTGACTGCCTGACGTGATTTATAGATGCGGTCTACTGATGAGCATCGCATAAGACGATTGAACGAAGTTGCTTCTCAGCAGGTCAACAACCAGCACTTTTCAAGCGGACCGAATTTCTTTATTTATTGCATTTTTATCCCAGACCCGATCAAACGGATGATGTGTGATGGCGACAACTCACTGTCAAATATTGTCATTTAGAATAGAATCAGAAATTTCGCTGACATTAAACAACTAACCTGAATACTTATATTAGAAAAATAGAATGAGAGCAACTAGAGGCAAAGTTCTGATCCCATGCCTTCTCCAACTCTTCCAAGCACTCACAACACCGACTAATTTGAAATTATTCATGACGCATCAATTTTGTTGCTGCAGTTACTAATGGCCACGGCTGAAAGTGTGCCAGGCTAACCAAGCTTCACCCTAGGTATGGAAAACCCTTTGAAGTTAAAAACCATTTATTTGCTTACAAGGTGTGTTATGTCTTCTTACAAGATATAAACACATCTTCCCTATTTCATTTGCTTATTAACCGATGCATTCTCGGTCAGCCTGCAACGATAGCATGGATTTGATTCATTCAAAAATGGGATACACTTTGCAAGAGTGAAAGAAAGGGTAGATGGTTCTTTGCGGTTAATCTTAGTATCGTTCTTGGTAAATGCGAAGGCATCTCATATTTGCCGTTGGTTCGCACAGTCCAAATGATCACCTTAAATTGTGGGTACGAACGAGTTTATGCTTCCAATTGAATGTTTCCCACTTATTTGTTAATGATTAGTTTGTTCAACACAGTAAACATCCCTCCTCCATTTTTAATGGTACCTTGAGGGATTGAGCTACTTTGACTCATAGTTACGCGCTTATAGGGGCAAGAGTTACCATTCTCTCCATTTTTTTTGCCGAATTACAGGTGTATTAAATGTGGATAACTTAACAACCTGTTTAGCATCGTAACTTTTGATAAAGGGAATACTAACAACTGAGTTCAGCGTTAAAAGAAGAAGGCATTACGCTTTCGTAAAGTTAGAATCTGGAAAAATTCTTTCATGAGATAACCTTTTACTGGGCCAACTACGCAAACGGAAACATGTATTTGGTTATGACATGTACAAATGGAGTTCATAAATGTACAATAATTACAAAGGATTTGTCTGACGGATTTCTAATTTGATCTTGCATTGTTTATAATAGAAAAACCACTACCTGTAGAAGCACCAAGCCTGGTTTTCGTTTGTCATGAATATACATCCTAATAAATATGCTCAATATCGCGTTGTTAAAAGGCAATTTTGCAAGACTTAAAAAGGAGCATCTTTCCAAATAAGCGAAAATGTTATTTCTCCTCGATGCTCCCCTTCGCCTCAAGCGCACTTTCTTCGAAAACCATGTCACCAATATGCAGCCACCTTCACTGTATTGTAATCGCATCTTAGGTATGAAGAATTCTGGAGGGGTCTGGTGTTGAACTCACTCGAGTAAACACGAAAAAAAGAAAGCACTTTATCCCCACCATGTTCTCTCAGCTATTTCTATTTGTATTTTCCCTCCCCCCCTCCGTATCTCATCGTTTATTCATACTTGCCCGACAAACTGTTATGAAGTCAAAGTCGGTCACGTAAGTTGTGTGTCTACAAGCAACTACAGTATC